AAAAAAAAAAAGGGCAAGTAAGAGAGGAGAATACCTCCGCAGCCATGGACGACAGAATATCCGAATTGCCAATACCTATACTTCACCACATTCTCTGTTTCCTCTCCCAAAAAGAAGCTGTCAGAACTTGTCTCCTCTCCAAACAATGGCGCCACGTAGGATCAACCCGCCCCAACCTCGAATTTTCTGAAGAATGGTTGGACAACACACAAGAAAAGTTCGTCTATGTCATCAACCGACTACAAGGATACCGTGATCACAACCTCTTCATACACAGTCTCCATCTCGACTTTTTGAGGCCCAACTATCCACCGGTCGTCTCCCTTCTCGACAAATGGATCCCGATGATACCCGCCCTCAACATAAAAGCGTTCAAACTCAACTTTCTTCCATATCCTCTGGCGTATTACGACCTACCCTCGGCAGTCTTCTTAGCCGAGTCTCTGGAAGAACTAAACCTGAGCACATGTAGGCTGAACCCGGTCGAGAGCGTGCGGTTCAAACATCTACGCACGCTCACCCTCGAACAGGTCCAAGTTGATGACGGAACTTTCGAGAAGATAACGTCGGGCTGCCCTTTGCTCAGGCGCCTCGTCCTTACTAATTGTCATGGATTGAGAAACGTTAGGCTGAGCGAGACAGCATCACCTGGGCTCAAGCTCTTTGAATTGCTTGATTTTGAGAGGATCGAAGGGCGTAGCATCAAAATTGATGTCCCGAATATCGAGACGGTCTCCATCAGGGGCCCATGGATTTGGTCTCACCGCCAAAGCGCATTATTGTTCTCTCGTCTCACGAGTTTGGGTCTCAATAGTGTGATCCTGTCGAGCGAGTCGTTCGACTTGTTATCCTTCGACTGCCCGACTCTTGCGAGCTTGACCCTAAATAATTGCTCCGGTTTTAAGGAATTCCGCCTTGCAAATGATTCGGTCAAGTGGTTAACCATCTCGACCAGCGGAATATTGCTTAAAGGAGCTACAATTTGTGTCCCGAACATTGTCAGATTTAATTTCAATGCCGATATTCCCCATGCGCCGGACAGATTCTCTTTCACGACCACTACCTCCAAGGAGTGGTCCTCACAAGTATTCCTCTCTTCTTCACGTGAGGATGGTCCCGATTTGGACATCGATTCGTGGTTCCTTAATCTGAGACGATTGCTCATGGCACTAAGTGGGTCTCAAATTTCTCTAACTCTGTGGATGAATGGCGGCCTTGATCAGGACTTGCCCTGTAGTGCTGTTGTCGGTGACGAGCCGCCTGTGGTGGTGCGGGACTTGTATTTTGGTACTTGTAAAAGTCTCATGGCGTCTTGGTACTTGTGGTTTACGAATGGCTTGTTTCGTGTTTGTCGACCGAGTAACGTATGGGGTCGTAGCCTCGTGACCGGGAACCACAGGCTCTCAGAGTTTCAGTACAATATCTTGCTTGCTAACAAGAGCCTCGGGACCGAGACCTACTTTTGGCAGCACGATTTGGAGCAAGTGCACGTCAATGGGCAGCTCGTGCAGTACACGGACTTGGAGGAATTGCGAAACAGGACATATGATGGGATAGTGTGCCTTCAGTTGAAATGGAGAGGTCGACCTCTCGGAATTGCGAAACAGGACATGTGATGGGACATCGGTACTACGCTGGCTTAATTGCTTTCCTATTTACTATTTGAGCCAGTGTTTTACGATTAAAATGCAACTGTCTCTTACTTTTAAGCTTTTATCAGATTAGGCTGCCATATAGTGTATACAATGCAACAATAAGAACAAAAATGATGCCCAAATATTAATAGATTGACAATGACGTTTCTTGCCTGGTTTTGAAAATCAATTTTGGACAATTAGAATATAAAAATGGGTTTAAATTTTTCAATTGTTATGTGGTCATTTGCAACTAATGAGTTTCACATTTGTCATGGTTTTTACCAAAAAATAGTCATAGTCGTCATAACCTTGCATAGCAAATTAATCTGAGTGGAATAGTAGGCAATTTGATCAATTACACAACTTTGATTTTTAGTGAGGAAGAGTGTGAGCTTCTGTATGTTCATCATACATGTGTTATGTTGAAAGAGTTGGTAAGAAATTTATATGGAGAATTTCACCATATCTGCATAAAAAGGGAAAGATATAGGTGTTGGTGCCAATTTTACTACGATCATTAGAAAAATGTCGCATGGAATCTTGGTACTCGGACTTTACGAATGATTTGTCTCGTGCTTGTCGACCGAGGCACATATGGGGTTGTCGGCTCGTGAGCGAGTCAGCCAGGAACCACAGGCTCTCTACGGACTCATGCTTTTATATTCGGTTTTCTTTCTCTCCAGTTGAAGGCCTAAGCCTCTTTCGTGTGCTGTGATAGTGTTATGAAGTCAGATCAGGATCTGTTAAAGTGTTTGATATCAGAATAGGGTTGACAAAAAATCCATGTAATAATAAGAACAAAAATGCTGCACAGATAAAATAGACTGACAGATAACTTTTTTTTGCCTTGAAATTGGATTTCAAAATTAATTTTGACAAGTGAAATATACAGACGGGTGATCCGAATCGTGTTTATTTGATAGGCCCCTATCAATGGCAGTTTTTCTATTCGACGAAGAGGATAAAATAACCCTGGAGGAGTGTCATATGAATAAGTAACGACATGAGGTTTCAAATTCCAAGTATTAATAACGAGCCTGAAACTCAAATTGATTTGTATGGGCTAGAGTAGAAACAATGATTTATTTTTCGGCTACCACTTTCGGTTTTGGAAGCTCCAAATAATATTGAGCTAAGGTGACGGGTTAGTCAAAAGATGATCAGTAAGATATCATATAAATGATTTAGATTGACATGGCATTTGTACTTTAAAAACACTAATAGTATCAATAGAAATTCAAATCTAAATGTAATACATAATTCAACATGTGTTGAATTCTCTAATTAAGACTTTTTATGGTTATAGCTTCTACTTGTTAAATTGAAAAGGTTTGTAAAATTCATGCATTTGGAGAAAATCACTTATTTTTTTAATGATTATATAATTTCGTAATAAAACAAAAATACAATATATATATATATATATATATATAAAGATTCTTGGTGAAAAAAATGAGAATACGTCGTAGCCATTAGATCAAATGATCCAATGACTAAAAAGATTCAGCATCTATTTATTCATTAAGGGTAATTTAGTCATTATCATTACCATCCAACCATTCCACACATCAATGGGTCCCATTCCACATCATCATACATACACAACACACTCTTACACATGCCACATCCACACATAACACACTCAGACACATGCACACCACACTTACACACACATTGCACACAATCAATCCAAGGAAGATCTCACGGCCTAGGCACCACTACCGAAACTGCGAAACTGCCTATACAGAAGCCGAGCTCGAGTCCCGAATCAAACTTCGAAACGACCAGCCTCCAACCTATAGAACGACCACACCAGCTCCCCGCACCATCAGAGTCCTAACTCGTCTAACACCACTAGCCGAGCTCGGGTGCTCCGGACCCCACTCGTCGCCAACTCGAGAGGACCGGGGGTAAGAGCTGCCCATCCCACAACTCTGGCTTCCCCGACACAAGGTGTCGCAGCCGCCAAAGTCCTGCCCTGCCCGCAGACCCGCACTCCACCCAACACCATAGCAGACCGCTGGCGACTAGACCCCTGCAACCACCGGAAGCCCCACCAGAAACTGCAGAGACGACCAGGCGACCACCAATCACAGACAAGAGATTGAGAGGCAAAACCACTCCAATCGACTACCCGCCGGCGAGGGGAAGCCACCAGACTTAGATCGAGGGCGCACCACCACAATCGCGGCCTCACCTGCGACCAAGGGCGGAAAGTCCATCGCTAACAGTTGCAGCAACGGCGGGGCTACGCTACTTCAGGGAAGGGCCGGGCGGTCAAGGGCGACCACTGACTCGAGCCTCGCCTGTCGCTGAGGAAGGCGAAGCGGCACAAATCAGAAAGTTATTGTGAGGAAGAAAGGGGATTAGATTGAAAACGCGGAGATAATGGAATTTTATTTTAATACTTATGTCTTTAAGCCATTGAATTATTTACCAAACATTTTTTTAGCAGATTAAAATAGTTCTAAATGGTTGAAAATGTTATTAACCGTTTTTTTAGTTTATTGAACTGTTTAGCACGCATTTATTTTTTTTGGAGGTAATTGAAACAGTTCTAAGTGATTTAAAAATCTATTAAGACTGTGTTTGGTAAGCCAAATAAGTTAGCTTATAGCTTATTTGGTGAGCTTATAAGCTTCCTGTATTCAAATAATGGTAGGACGAGCTTTTTTAAAAAGCTCGAGCTTATTTAATAAGCTTCTCTAGATAGCTTTTCAAATAAGCTAGTTGAATTTTTTATTCCAGCTAGCTTATCAGCTAATTTTACCAAACAGTTTTATCATATAAGCTAGCTTTTCAGCTATAAGCTATAAGTTAAAAAATTATTGATAAGCTATAAGCTAGCTTATCAGCTATCAGCTAGTTTTACCAAACATAGCCTAAACAAATGAGCCATAATATTGGGAGAAATTTCGTTAAAAGTTTGTTAATAATAAATAATTGCAACTAAATAAAATGATAAATAAATTAAAATTAAATAAATTGATAAATATAATATTGGTTGAGACTTGAGATGTGGCTCAAAATTTGTTAACAATAAATAAGTTGTATTTAAAATATTGTGACTGAGTAACATATTTGTGTAACAAATACCGTAAGTTTAACAAACTTTGCGACAGAATAGACATATTGCGTAACAAATCGCAAGTGTAACAAACTATCACATATTTTCGCATTCAAATCTATTTATCCTGTCACTCTAACAAACTCATAGGATTGGAAATGTTTTTATATGTTTCTAACAGATTCAGTCATAGCAGAAGGCAGATTGACTGTGTAACTCATGTTTTAATAAATTCTTTAAAAAAAAAAAAAAAAAAAAAAAACAGAAAGAGAGGAGAATACCTCCGATCCGTAGCAATGGACGACAGAATATCCGAATTGCCAATACCTATACGTCACCACATTCTCTGTCTCCTCTCCCAAAAAGAAGCTGTCAGAACTTGTGTACTCTCCAAACAATGGCGCCACGTAGGATCAACCCGCCCCAACCTCGAATTTTCCGAAGAATGGTTCGACAACACACAAGAAAAGTTTGTCTCGTTCGTCGATCGAACCCTACAAGGATACCGTGATCACAACCTCTCCATACACAAACTCCATCTCGACTTTTGGGAGCCCAACTCTGTCGTCTCCCTTCTCGACAAATGGATCCCGATAATAGCCCTGAACATAAAAGCGTTCAAACTCAACTTTCTTTCAAATACTCCAGCGTATTACTACCTGCCCTCAGCAATCTTGGCAGCCGAATCCCTTGAAGAACTACACCTGAGCAATTGCAGGCTGAGCCCGGGCGAGAGCTTGCGGTTCAAATGTTTGCGCACACTCACCCTCAAAGAGGTCCAAGTTGATGGAGGGACTTTTGAGAAGATAACTTGGGGTTGCCCTTTGCTCAGGCGCCTCGTCCTTACTAATTGTTGGGGGTTGAGAAACGTTAGGCTGAGCGAGGCGGCATTGCCTGGGCTCAAGTACTTTGAATTACAGGATTCCGCGAGTATTGAAGGGCGTAGCATCGGAATCGATGTCCCGAATCTCGAGAGAGTCTCCATCGCGGGCCCATATATTTGGTCTCACCGCCAAAGCGCATTCTCGTTCTCTCGTCTCACGAGTTTGAGTTTCTATTATGTCATCCTGTCGAGCGAGTCGTTCGACCTGTTATCGTTCGCCTGCCCGACTCTTGCGAGCTTGGCCCTACGTAATTGCTCCGGTTTTGAGGAATTCCATCTTGCAAGTGATTCGGTCAAGTTATTGAGCATCAGGACCGAAAAAATATTGCTTAAAGGAGTTACGATTTGTGCCCCCAACATTGTCAGTTTTGATTTCACTGCCGATATTCCCCAGGTGCCGGACACATTCTCTTTCACTACCACTACTTCTAAGGAGTGGCACTCACATGTAATCCTCTCTTCGTGGGAGGGAGATCCCGATTTGGACATCAATTCGTGGTTCCTTAAGCTGAGACGAATGCTCAAGGCACTAAGTGGGTCTTCGATTTCTCTGTCTCTGACGATGAACGGCGGTCCTCAGGACATGCCCTGTAGTGCTGTTGTAAATGATGAGCCGCCTGTTGTGGTGTGGAGCTTGAATTTTACAACTTTCATATGTCGCACGTCGTCCTGGTACTTGGGGTTTACGAATGGCTTGTTTCGTGTTTGTCGACCGAGTCGTGTATCAGGTGGTAGCCTCGTGAGCGGGTCGGACATGAACTACATGCTCTCGGAGTTTCAATTAAACATCTTGCTTCCTAACAAGAGCCTCGTGACCAAGCCCTACTTTTGGCAGCACGATTTGGAGCAAGTGCACGTCAATGGGGAGCTCGTGCAGTACACAGACTTGTCGAAATTGCGAAACAGGACATATTATGGTACAGTGTGCCTTGAGTTGAAATGGGGAGAAAAAACCGGACCATTTTGGAGAATCAATGATCAAGGGATAATTTTGGCTATTGTTTTTTTATATTTTGTTTTAATTATTTTCTTTTTTTTGGTTTCTCTTGGAAATATGTGACTGTTTAGGCCCATTTAAGGACCTGACTATATAAAGGTTGGAGATCCAACCTCAATCCCATTCAATCTCGGTATTTTAATAAAAAAAAGAAGTTAGAAATGGAGAGGTCAGACCTCTTGGAATTGCGAACAGAACATATGATGAGACATTCGGTACTACGGTAGCTTGTTTTTCTATTTACTATAAGAATTTTGAAAATCAATTTTGGACAATGAGAATATACGAATGGGTTTAAATTTAACATTTGTTATGCGGTCATTTGCAACAGTTTCACATTGTGTCATGGTTTTTACCAAAAAATTGTCTTGAAGTCATACCTTGCGTAGCAAATTAATACACGAGGATAGGGAGGGTTTTACCAAAAAATTGTTTAGACGTCGTGACCCACTTACCACAAGCTCTAATCAAGTCGTAACCACTTACCCTGAGTTGTAAGAATGAGCTCCGTGGCCAAATCGAGCACCGGAACCAAGCTAAGACTCCCTTCGACCGGTCGAATCCGAGCTAACTACTCAAGCCGGTCCACCGAGCTATGCTGAGTGTTGTATCAACAATCCGTATTCTTGATTTACTTATTTGTCGGGGTATTTGAATTGTGTGCATGAATTAGAGACGAAGTGAACCTAATGCATGTGCTAAGTGCCGAGAGGTGCACAAAAACCATAGTAATACCGAGCCAGTTTGGTCCAAAGTCACTATATATTTGTGGTCGAGTGGAATTTAAGGCTGATATATGCCGATGATGGCAGCTAACGAGCCATCAAGGGAGGGAGGCACTCGGCAAGGGGCTGATGGACTACACGGGTGCCAAGAGTGTGCTTTACCCCCGAGACCGCATTGTGGCTGAAACAAAGAGAGACAAACTAAAACTATTTGTATTGTAAATTGCTTGATGTTTCTATGTTGTGACGATTGTTTTAACTAGTGTTTGTTTGTTTTATGTATAAGTTCATGGCTGGTCCATTTACAGCAGGACATGTATACTATTACATGACCTAACTATTTGAAATATATATTATTATCAATATAAAAAAATTGCATTAAAATATATTATTGTTAGAATGAAGTCTCCATAACTTTGTTCAGTTCACTATTTTGATGAATTAATTCGATTTATGTAAAAAATATTTTATCATCTTCATTTAGTACTTATTATTTTTATTTAACTATTTATATAAGATCTCTAATTTTTTTTTATGAAAAGTAATTTGATATTTTAAAAATATTAATTTAAATATGATATTTATAGACTATAAACAAGAAATAAATGTGAATTGGGGTTTATTGAGTACTTAGACGTGGATAAAAAAATTGCAGTAATAATAACAAAAAATATAAGGTGCACTCTCAACTTGTTAAATAGAACACTTCACTAATGTGAGTATTAATGTGGTTATCTAATATTTTTAGACTATTAACGATAAACATAATATATGTTGAGATGTTAATAAATTTATGGCAATCAAATTTGTTATTAATGATAAATATAATATTTGGTGAGATGTGGCTAAAAATTTATTAATAATAAATAAATTTCAATTTATAAAATTTTCTACTAATCAATATATAAATTGCAATTAAAAAAATTGAGAGAGTAGACATGTTTGTGAAACAATAATCTGGGTTTTAAAAAAATTGAGATTTAGTAGACATTGTGTCACAAATCTAAGAAAACTGATATGTAGTGTATAAAAATAGTTTTCTTGATGATGAAGAATTGCAAAGTATGAGTATATATATATATATATTCTAATGTGGCACAGCCCCACATGGAGCTGTCTCATTTGTTGTTGGCTCCATAACGGAGCCAACAATTAGCTCTTTAGCATTATTGTATATATATATATACACACACAAGACTATATTCACTTTCCTAATTAACCGAACTATACAACCTAACTAGTGTGTAGTCCGTCCTGGTACAGGAAAATAATATTAACAATAATTATAAATTAAAGATGAAGATATATAATATTAACTATAATTATAAATAAAAGATGTGGGGTTACATGTTGTGATAAAATTTATTTATCGTAAACAATATAAAATTATCTCGTATAAAAGAACATAAAAAATATATGTTTAAAATATTAAAATTGAGATAAGGTTTACATATTATATATAAAATAAATATTGAGATGGCACTAAAAATTATTACGTAATGTCTTTGTGAAAATTTGAGTATAAAATAAATAGAGGCTTAACAAGTCTACCCTTTATGCATACGCTTCATTTATCAATTTTACAAATTATGAGAATGATTTTAAAATCTCGTTATCAAGATTTTTATTCAAACATGTATCAACAAAATCCACATTTTTTGGGATTTATGATGAAATATGAATAAATATGTTTTTGGCAAAATTGCAATTTTAGTCTTGTTGATTTGATCCAGTGGCGTGTTTAGTCCTAAGAATTGAACATTTTTTCTATTTGGTTCTATGATTTTAAAATTCAACGCAATTTCAATCCTTTGGGATTTAAAAATTACAGGACTTAAATTTCTAATAAAAAAAATCTTTGGATGGATTTTTTATTAACAATTTAAGTCCTGTAATTTTTTAGATTTTGTTGAGATTTCAGTCCCAAAGGACTGGAATTGCTACAAATTACAGGATCAAAAGATAAAAAAAAAATTGAAATCTTGGGACTAAAAATGCTACAGCGTTAAACCAGCAGGACTAAAAATACAATTTTGCCTAATTTTTTTATATAATAATTCCGTATTTATCTGTTTTTAAAAATCAAAGCAAACTCATAGAGAGTTTTTGTTCCTAGCAAATTCCTACAATTATAATTAATTATATTATTCCAGTTTGAATTTCATTATGATTTTAAAAACCTGTGCACGTGGTCATCATCCATATCAAGTAAACAGTTCTTATATTTTTAGAAATCAGTATTTATCTGTTTTTTAAAATCAATACAGCCTGCTTAAGATAACAAACTCATACAATTCTAATTAAATTATATTATCTCAGTTCAATTTGAGTACGAATTTAAAGTTTTAATTTGAACACGAATTAGATTTTAATTTGAATATGAATTGAAAAAATATGTACACGTGTTGATAGCAAGGTTATCGAAATCGGACTGGACCGGCCAGTTCAACCGAAAATTGACCCATACACCTGTCCGGTTTGAGGTATAAAACCGCTGGAGTCCCGAACCGTCCTATAACCGACTTGAACATGTTAGAAACCGCCAAAACCGTTAGACCGGTAAAGGTTGACGCGGTTCGACGGTCCTGTTATTGCTTTGAACTTGAGGGGTTGTAGGACTAGTTAAGTAGCTGGCTTCTTTTGTTTGTATGTCTGATGTGGGATTGAGAAGCTAATAATGGTTTGCCTAATTTGTTGAGCCGCTAGCGGGCCTATTTTTCCTATGACTCTGTCCCACCACAAGACCCAAAATAACAAGAATTAAATTGGGCCTAGTTTTTCTATAGTTAGTTCTAGGGAAATTTTCACTTATCCTACATGAAATTAAAAATTTTGGAAATCTATCATCCATAAACAAATAATTGTGTATCTACCTAATTGTCAGGAATTAACTACATTTATGCCTAAAATTCAGTTACCTAAAAAGTAGACTCCATCAATTTTCTGTTACCATGATTTCCGCCAAAGAGAAAAAAAAGAAAGAACGTGATTTCTGTTACCATGGTATCCTACATCAAATATATCTGCTCGAGTTTCTGTTGGGTATATATTTAATATATATACATAAAATATACCATAAAAAAATGTAGATGTATGTATAGTATATATTTTTCATGATTTTACTAAATGTAAATCAATCATATACCGAAATATACTAAATAAAACATTGAATGAACAGTATATTTTGAGTTTATATTTAGTATATATTTAGTATATACTGCTTATATATACAACATATACTGAACATATACTCCATATAAACCAAATATGCCCAAATCGTTTAGAATAAAACCCTTATTCACGCCTCTCATCACAAAATCTTCATCTTCTCCAAAGATTCTCGAGCAAAAGAGTAGAGAAAAATTCCTTCGCAACTTTCTTCTTCGCGTGCGTCCTTCGCCATCAATCGTCTTCATCCTTCTCCACTGACGCGCGACTCCTCTCAACATGAGCAAATCTCGTTCCTCATCTTTCTCAATCGACGAGATAGCAGCAGTAGAGCGAGTAGCAGGTTCCGTCCGCCGTCGCACCTGAGGTCACGTCACCCTCCGTCGGCGAACTAGCAATCCACGCAAGGAGTCAAGCTGTGCCGGAGATCCCACGCTTGTTGTCGTACGCCTATCGAGAAGGAGCCGTGGCGAGCAGCGAGTTCCGTCGATCCTCCTCGGCATCTCGACTTCGTCCAGCGAGTAGCAATCCTGCCCGATCTGATTGTCAGATCAGACCTTCGTCGTCGCGCCTGTTTTGGTCACCGGCCGCCGGCGACAAGAAGCAGCAAACAACAACTCGGGCCAGTGAAAGATCCGAAAAAGGCTCCTCCTCCTCTGAACAGATCTGAAAAATCGAGGAGGGTTTTTTTTGCAGAGAAGTGGGTGAAGGTGGGTGAAGGTGGGCCGTGGTTTCGGAGAGACAATGAGAGAGAGAGACTGTTTATCAATTGCATTTAATTTGCTCTGTTATTAACATTCAGAATCTTAGGTATAAGTGCAAATATTTTGGGCTTGTTTTGTAATTTTATAAATAAAATTATAATGGGTGTATAAGTGTAATATATTTCATAACTGATAGTAAGGGATGTAAATTCCTCTAAGTTCTATCCACCACAAGCCAAGAAGAAATTACTCCCAAAACGACCACACAACCATTTTTTTTCTTTTTGCAAACCTACGTGTCAATCAAGACTTTAGCAAATATACCAAACATTGTTATTTTAATTGCAAGCGCACGAGACCTTATCATATGCTCTTGCAAATTAATTAAGAGTAATTACCAAATGTTAAATAAACTGACTCCGCATATCACGCCTAATTACTCCACATCTCACCCACGTTCAAACTCCCTATCATCTTCATTCTTAGTAAACCTTAGATTCAATTTTATGGGCAGAACAAAAATTAAGATGAAAATTACAGAATAATTATAGGATGATTCACGACAAAGCTGCTTGGGATTTGCTCCGGTGGGTGACGACTACCGATCTCGGCGTGATGGCGGCGAAGGCTGCAGTGCAGCCGTCGACATTCATTTTCGTTGTCCCTGAATATTCTTGAGAAATAAAAGGGCTTTTTTCCGCAAATGAGGCAAGCAAATTCAAGAATTCAAGATTGCTTTTTATGCTTTCTTCGTACTAAGCAATGGCCTAGGAGGTTCTCTTGGCCGCCGGGTGCGACCTTCCAGAGCGAGTTCCGATAGGGATGGATGGAGGGCTTCGGAAAATTCGTCAGTCCAGACGGTGACGGAAGCTCAGGCTTGTTGCGATGTCGGCAGTATATGTTGCGTTTATGTATAGTATATGTTTCTGTCGGCACTATCTCAGTGGTGTTATACGATAGTTTATTTGTGAGTAGAAGCGACATACGAATACTATATGTTTGATACATTAGAAGTTTATTTGATGTTTATTCATAGTTTACGTTTGGTATATTAGTAGATTTTGTAGTTCATTTTTCAATGTTTATTTGATATTTGTTCGTAGTTTATATTTGGTATATTGACATATTTTTTTGTTTGGGTGATTCTGATTAGATGTTTATTCATAATTTATGTATTCTTATTTTGGGTTATAAACTTATAAGAAACTGCAAAATAAACTAGATTTATATTTATAGTAAAAAAAAGTTGGTTTATAAATTTACATATAATTAAATTTAAATGAAATGGAAGAAAGAGAAGAGAGAGAAGAGAAGGAGAAATTTGAGGAGAATTGAAGAAAAAACGAATCTATATATATATATATAGATTTAGAATTATCATTTTTTAAAAATGACAGGTCATCTATATGGTCAAATTCGCTCATCATTAATTAAACTTTCCATTAGTGGCAATTTTTATTATTATTTTTTTACAGAAAAGATGTTTTCAAAATTTTGTAACTATAAAATCGGCAGCATTAATTGCTTGAATCCCAAAATGGTGGGTTTGTTAAAAACTGCATCCGATTTTATGTAAAGTAGCATCCAATTTTTATGTGAAACATGTAAATTCAACTATATTTCTAATTAAACTAGTGTGTACCCCGTGCGATGCACGGGTAAACAATATTAAATAACAATTATAAATGAGTTTCGAGTTCGAGTCACGTAAGTGAGGAATCATTATTGATACCTTTTTTAAAGAGAATTATGATGTCACGTGTGAAAATTTGAGTACGCAAAATTTCAAAAATTATTATTATTATTATTATTATTATTACACTGAGTAATCCGTGCTATGCACGGCTATATTAATTTATGGAATTTATATATTTATTTATTTTTATATAGCGAAGCCTGTCTATTTTTTTTTAAAAAAAAATTGAAGCTCAATTATGTTCCACAATATAATGTACTCAACTAAACTGGTCGGGTCAAACTTAACGCGCCAATAACATATTATTGAATTGACCCAAATAAAGCCCAACCATGAAAGCAAACCCAATCATTACGTGCGACCCAACATCCAAATTATTAGGGTTATGTCATTACTTCTCCTCCTCCCACCGGTTTCCTTCTCTATTCTCTCTCTTATATCACTTATAGAAACTTGATACAATATTCTTTCAAATTTTCACAAAAATGCTCTATTTTTTAAACAATCAATCACATCTATTGCGAGTCGATTTCTTATGCTAGATAGATCGATACTATATATTGTCTTTATGTTTAGAAAGATGTCTCTATTATTTTATTTCTTTGGACTGTCATATTTTTTTGTGTGTGCTAAGATTTTATGTTTGTTTTTTGGTCGAAACCGATGAAAAACTGACTCTGTTATTACTATTTCGACCATTTTAAAAACTTTTCATTTGAATATCGAGACTTATATAAGGTGTTGTTCAATTATTTTAATTCATATTGTTTTTTTTTTTTGTAGATTTTAGAAATTTCGTAAGTTTAATGGACTGATCTGGAATAGTTTTTCAATTTTCGGTCGAAATCTGAATTTTATTCAATCGAAAAAAAATGAATACCGGAAATGAAGTCTCATTTTCTATCTGAATGTCTATTTGTTTTAAAAAATATTACAAATCTTAGTCGGTTATATAAATTTTGACTGTATTTTGAAATTTAATTTAAAATAAGGGTCTTAATCTCTAAAAATGTGTTCAAATCTTTTGTGATTGAACAAATCCCACATTTTAAGGGCAGCATTAAATGCTGCCCGATTTTTTTGTAAGAAAAAAAAAAGTTGCCAAAAGTGGCATGTAATTAATGCAGATAAGATTTTGACCAAAATTTGACTTACTATTTTTGAAAAATGTTAATTCTTATTATATATATATAGATTATAAATGAGTTTCGAGTTCGAGTCACGTAAGTGAGGAATCATTATTGATACCTTTTTTAAAGAGAATTATGATGTCACGTGTGAAAATTTGAGTACGCAAAATTTCAAAAATTATTATTATTATTATTATTATTATTATTATTATTATTATTATTATTATTATTATTACACTGAGTAATCCGTGCTATGCACGGCTATAATAATTTATGGAATTTATATATTTATTTATTTTTATATAGCGAAACCTGTCTATTTTTTTAAAAAAAAAAAGAAATTGAAGCCCAATTATGTTCCACAATATAATGTACTCAACTAAACTGGTCGGGTCAAACTTAACGCGCCAATAACATATTATTGAATTGACCCAAATAAAGCCCAACCATGAAAGCAGACCCAATCATTAAGTGCGACCCAACATCCAAATTATTAGGGTTATGTCATTACTTCTCCTCCTCCCACCGGTTTCCTTCTCTATTCTCTCTCTTATATCACTTATAGAAACTTGATAAAATATTCTTTCAAATTTTCACAAAAATGCTCTATTTTTTAAACAATCAATCACATCTATTGCGAGTCGATTTCTTATGCTAGATAGATCGATACTATATATTATCTTTATGTTTAGAAAGATGTCTCTATTATTTTATTTCTTTGGACTGTCATATTTTTTTGTGTGTGCTAAGATTTTATGTTTGTTTTTTGGTCGAAACCGATGAAAAACTGACTCTGTTATTACTATTTCGACCATTTTAAAAGCTTTTCTTTTGAATATCGAGACTTATATAATGTGTTGTTCAATTATTTTAATTCATATTGTTTTTTTTTTTTAGATTTTAGAAATTTCGTAAGTTTAATGGACTAATCTGGAATAGTTTTTCAATTTTCGGTCGAAATCCGAATTTTATTCAATCGAAAAAAAATGAATACCGGAAATGAAGTCTCATTTTCTATCTGAATGTCTATTTGCTTTAAAAAAATATTACAAATCTTAGTCGGTTATATAAATTTTGACTGTATTTTGAAATTTAATTTAAAATAAGGGTCTTAATCTCTAAAAATGTGTTCAAATCTTTTGTGATTGAACAAATTCCACATTTTAAGGGCAGCATTAAATGCTGCCCGATTTTTTTGTAAGAAAAAAAAAGTTGCCAAAAGTGGCATGTAATTAATGCAGATAAGATTTTGACCAAAATTTGACTTACTATTTTTGAAAAATGTTAATTCTTATTATATATATATATATATATAGATGTTTCCAAAACACCCTTTTTAAAAATCATTCTTTAAATGAAGGATTTTCTTCAAGTTCAAATTTAAAAATCTCTACTTAATAGGTCATTATCTTTACTCAATCATATAATTTTTGTTTTTTCAATAATCTAGAATTATATTGCAGTTTTTTTTTTCTTCAAAATCAACAAAATTTTTAAATAATTTTATACTAATTATTTCAACAGTTCCTTAAAAAAATCGACCTGAATACAAATTTTGAGCGCATTTTCAATTCATTCAAAATTCGAACAATTTAAAATTAAAAAAATCATTTCTTAAATGAAACATTTTGTTCAAGGTTAAATTTAAAAACTACTCCTTAAATTAATGTTTTTATTCAACTTAAATTTTTAAAATTTTGATTTCAAAATCTCGGTGTATATAAAATTTTATGAATTTCAAAATTAAAAACACCAATGCACATTTTATATAAGAAGAATAATCATTTACTAAAAATAGTAGTAAAAATTTTTGAGAACATTTAATGCATACCTTTTTGGAAACTTTAATATATGCATTAATTGATTCCATATATACGTTTTCAAATAAGATCAAATCAGATATGGTAAAAAATATATTTTCTTAAATTATTTTATTAATATCTAAAATAATTTCATTGATATCCATTATAATAAATTACAATCCGTGATTCATGTTGATAATATTTTGGTCAAGATAAATATTTTACAACATATTTAAAGTTCTAACTAGAATATTATTTTTTTTTATCAAATAATCACTTTTTATCTAGAAGTATTTATAGAAAATCGTAAAAGATTAGATAGAATTTTTTTCTTCCAATTAATCAATCGAAATCAAGTTGGTAAATTAATCTTTGCTAATATATTAACTTGATGTAAAAGTAGGAGAGAGGAGATGTGATGTGATGGTTAGTTAAAATTATGTGAGTTGATGAATAGTGAATTAAGGTTGATATTGTGTATAAAAATGATTGATTGATATTATTTAATTATATTGATAATATTGATGATAGTGGGGTTGAGTTAAAGTGGAATTAAAAAAAAAAGGTAGTTGAGTTAAAAATAATTGGATTTTTTGGGTTGGATTTATATCCAATCATGCTCAATGTTCTGGCTAAAGAAACAACGATGATTAAAAAGGTGAAAAATATATTATAACCATATTATTTTTTAGACTTTACACTGATTAGAAAAGGTGAAAAAATGGATGATAACCCTATTTTTTTAGACTTAAATAGATAAAGTATGTAAAAATAACTTATTTAATATCTATGTCTCGTACATCGCAGGGGGTACGTACTAGTTATCTATAATACACTTAATGAATGTATAAATGCTGACCATTGGATGTTGGATGATCAGATCTAAAGGCTAAAGTTTATTGTTATTTCTTTCATAAACACCATTTTTACATGAGCGATATATATATATATAGAGTCACGCTCCGGTGAGAATGACTCTTAATGCGAGAAATAAGAATAAATCGTAATCATTGGATCGGATGATCTAGTGGCTAAAAAAATATCAAAATTATATCTTCAGTAAGGATATTGTGGTATTTTTTCATACCACACGGCCCCATTCAACTTTAAAAAACCTGCCAACCCAACCATCCCACCATTCAAACCGCACCTCTCTCTCTCACACACACAAACACACACGTACATACATAAGAAAATCGACCCACACACATTCACACAATCACCGGCCCGCCACCGCCAGTCCGCCGCCGCCACCACCCGTCCGTCGCCGTCGCCGCTCCTCCGCCCGCTCTATTCACCTCACTCGCTCTCTCTCTCTCACACGCACACAGAGCAAATCGGCACACATATCTCTGCCTCCCTCAGCCCGCCGCTATATCTCGACCTGCCGCCGGCGAACAGCGGTCGCCGGCGAGAAGCCACCTGAGAGAGTCCAAACGGTTGTCCATCGGCAGCCGAACCACCACTCGCCGCCGACCACCTCGTTCGCCCAATCGGTTGCCCACAGATACCCAATACACACACAAATCGCGCTCGCGCCCCCTAGCCTGCGACTACCTCGTTCGTCGCCGACCTTCCCACCGGCGCTCCGCCCAGAGCCACCCAGCATCACCCAAAACCACCGCCCACACCCTGTACTCACCGAGGACGCCTCCACGCCTCCGCGCAGGTCTGCCACCGCGCAAATCGCAGCACGCCGGACTTCGACCATTCCCCGCCACCCAGACCCGACGGCCAAATATTAATGACACAATTGCTGTTGAATTTCAGAAATCGAGACGGTCTCTCTCCAGCCACCACGAGCCGCCGATTTCGCCGCTCTATGGCGGATTGCATCAAATTCTCTGTGGATTGCGGCAGCGACGAAGGTAGCTATGTGGCAGAGGGTGGCTGTGGCAAGGGATTCGGTTGATATCGGGGCTGTGTTTCAATTTTGATGTTGGGCTGAGAAAAATCAATTGGGGATTAGGGGCTTTTAGTTGAAAATTGGATAATTTTTAGGGGTCCTAAGGCAAATTCAAACATTTAACTATAATTACAATTTAATGTATGAGCTAGCTTTACAATTTATTAAAAAAGTTAATAAATGCACATTAACGTTAAGTGATATGCTCAATATACAAAGTGTATATGCACATTAAAATGTCCGGTCTACATAATGCACAATACTGAGAAAAATGATCGAAACCGGTCGTGATACAAAATTTAGTTCATTTTTTATGTCGGTTATGTTAGAGAGTTTTAATTTTTTAGTTATTTTGATTTAGAATATTTTTTATATTTTGTATAAAATAATAACATATTAAAACACTAAATATGTATATAAATGAAATGTACAATATTCTTTGTAATGCACATTAAAAAATGTATTATAATTTAGATCATGGGTTAAATTAATTTACCAGATTTTTAATAATTGCACATTAATTTATCGAAAAACCTTTATAATAAATATACTTTTATAATAATCAATTACAAATTATTTTAATTATTTAGATTAATTCAATGTAAAATTATATCTACTAAATTTAGTTTTCAAAAATACATAATTTAGACGTGGTGCACTTTATATATCAAAGCGATGCACTTTATGAAAGAATACGTTGCACTGTATAACACAGCACGTTGCACTTTATCACGACACTCCATAATTAACATCAACAGCTTTCCGCCAAAAATACCATCAGCAATATTAAAAAATAGTTTATAATATTATAAGAAATATTAAAATAATAAATATACTTCTATAATAATAAAAAAAATATTAACTTATACTTTTAAAAATAATTTTTTAATATTTTAAAAAATATTTAAACAATAAATTATAAAATATTTTAATTATTTAGGTTAATTCAATGGACAAATAACCTAAATAACTAATATTTAGGTTAATTATAAACAATAAATTATAAACTATTTTTAATTATTTAGGTTAATTCAATCTGCTAAATCTAGTCTTCAGGAAGACATAATTTATATAGGGTGCACTTTATATATCAATGCGATGCACTTTATAAAAGAATAGTTGCACTTTATAAAACAGCACGTTGCACTTTATCACGACACTCCGTAATTAACATCAGCAGTTTCCCGAAAAAAAATACCATCAGCAATATTAAAAAATATTGTTTAATATTTCAAAAAATATTAAAATAATAAATATACTTTTATAATAATAAAATATAAATTATTTTAATTATTTAGGTTAATTCAATGTACAATTATATCTACTAAATCTAGTTTTCACTAATACATATTTTATATGTGGTTCACTTTATATATCAAGGCGATGCACTTTATAAGAAAATATGTTGCACTGTATTAAACAACACGTTGCACTTTATTACGACACTCCATAATTAACTTCAGCAGCTTTCCGCCAAAAAAACCACACAACATAAATAAAAAAAAATGGATATACATAAATCCTTAACATCAATCTCATCATTTATCCACACAAATCACAAGCATGCTAACGTACTAAAACAACAGTAGTTCACTTTATACATCAACATGATGCACTTTATAAACAACACGTTATGTTACTGGCGGTCAACCAAACCAAGTAAACCAAATAAGTACGAATATTTTCAATTTGATTTGGGACAAAAGTTCGGTTGGCTCAGTTGCACAATACAGACGACATTGTGCACCATATTATTGTACGAATTGCACCTTACCAATTGTAGATGGCACAATATAGTTCGTTTACATATATACAGTATTTTTTTAATTAAAAAACTAATATAAAATATTAAATAAAAAACTATTAAATACTAGTCATGTTTTCTATAATAAATAATATAATTTATGTCGATTATTTTGGTTATCCATGTTAATCTACAAATAAACCGATTATGTTGAAATTTCAACGTTAACCGGTTAACAATATTTTTGTGTTTTGTAGCGCGTTGATATCTTAATTTTATTTTTTTCCAATGTGCATATATACACACTATTGTGCAAGTTATTTATCGTTGTTGTGCATTGCATATGACAAACTTCTGCCATTCTTTTTTTTTAATAAATTACATATTTAATCCATCAATTAAAATTAATTATACTAGAAGTTTTGAAAATTTAATATGACTATCCATACACATATTATATAATTTCTTTTAACAATATACTACTTCTATTAATTTTTCAATAAAATTATTATTTAAACCATTAATTAAATTACAACATAAATAGAACTCTTGAATTATACTACATCTTTTAGGTTTTCAATAAAATGAGTATTTGAACCATTAATTAAATTACAATATAAATAAAGTTCTTAAAACTACACATTTGCCCCTAAAAGTGACCTAATTTTCTCTAAATCACCCCAACATAGCCCTAATTCAACACCTGCAGATTTGTCCCACATCACGCCACCACAACCGTCCGACATCACGCCACCACAATCGGCTCGAATCCGATCATTCTCTGCCGGAGGCGCTCAACTCAGCAGCCCGACTGACAGTGTATGTGGAACGGTGGAACAGAGCCATTGGAATCCTCCCACGCAAACACGGCCGACTCGAGTTGGCCGGAATTGGGACACTCGACGGCGACGGAAGCGCTGTCGGTTTACACAGGGTGCTGGACGCCCGAGGTGTTTGACGGAGGAGCCGGAAGTAGGTGATGGAAGCTTGTTCCCTGCTGTCGACGGCGAAGTGGATGTGGGTTGACGGACAGATCTCGACTGTGGCAGAGCCGGTGGGTTTTGTGGCGGACGACACGTGGTTGACGGAAGGCAAAGACGGCGGGTGGGGTAAGGACGGCGACGTGGGCGGCGCTGGGTGAGGTCGGAGGCGACGGGCGGTGGTTGTGGACTGGGGTGCCGCCGTCTGTCGTGTATGTGTGTGTGTGTGTGCCCGTCTGTGTGGGGGTGAGAGAAAGATGTGAGAAAAGAGATGTTTGTTGGTGGTAGTGGTGGGGCCCACTTGGGATTTATTATGAATGAGTAATTACCTTGATGTCCTTAGTTAGTGGTTGATGTATATTTTTTACCATGAAATGAAATCTTATTTACGAATCTGCCATTCCCATTTTGACTGTCATATTTAATATTTGACTTGATCAAGACCTTTGATATGTTGGATCCAATGATCCAGACTCATTCTCATTTCTCGCATTAAGAATCATTCTCATATGATCCTTTCTCCACAAATATATATATATATATATAAGATCCCTTCTATATATACACTCCTCTTACCTCTTTTCCGATCGTAGAATAACATATGTTAAACTTAAGTTTTTTGACATGTTTTTCTTACAAAACAGTCTAGCACACTTTTAAGAAATAATATAAAATATTTAAATACTTTTACATGTGTTATATAAAATATTTAAGGTATTTTTAATATTTTAAACATACATGATTTATGTTCCTTTTATTTTATATAAGATAATTTTATATTGTTACATAAATTATGTCACATGTTAATCCCACATCTATAAATTATAATTATTATTTAATATTGTTTACCCAAAATTTTAATTTAGAATTATTATTTAATATTGTTTACTCATATATTTAATTTCTAATTATTATTTAATATTGTTTACCCGTGCATCACACGAACTACGTACTAGTTAATCTAAAAAATTGGTAGAATTATTTATTTATTTTTTTGCATTAATTGAGCCAAAAAAAAGTAAAAGAAATGACTACAATATCGTCACGAAATCATTCCACAATTATTATTAGCTTTTAGATATACATGTAAATTAATGTAAAGTAAATAATATATCGCTAAAACCAGTGTTTTAAAAAGCGCATCGTGCAATGCGTCGCGTTTTGGTCCTTATATTGCGTAGCGTAAATAGCGTAGCGCATAGCGTAAGCTATTCGAGCAAATCACTTTTAATGCCAAAAATAAGAATATATAACCATACAAGCGAATAATTAATTAAAATGGTTTTAAACCACAAACTTGGACATTAAATCTAAAAATTAACATTCAAATATGAATTCTTCAAACAACTAAAGTGTTAATGTTTAAAGGAAAGACTCAAAATCTTAAAATGATCGGTGTTATGCAATTGAATTTGGCTATTCTCGCCAATTCTATCAAAGTTATGGAGATTTTCACTACGAAAAATCATTGGTACAATTTCACCAAATTCTTGCATCTCCTCATCATCTGGAGAAAAAAGGAAATGTTCTTCTCATTTCACTTTTGAGCTTAAGAAACATAAACATCCCATGATTCTAATAAGTCCAAAAAGGTCAATCCTAGCTATGTTGATATCAATTTTTCAAATAATTTTTTTAAGAGAAATACGAAACATGATTTAATAATCACTCAAATTCGCCATGAGAGAAATTACTCAATTTTGTGCCATACATTTTTTTTTGTATTTTATTATTTTATTTTTTATTTTTTTCCTATAAATAAGGAATGCGCAAATAGCGTGAGAAATAGCATAAATTGCGTAAATAGCGCAAAATATAGCGTAAATAGCGCAAAATATAGCGTAAATGGTGTGCGCTTTTGGAACTGCGCGAAATTATCTACACAATGTCGCGTTTTTGGGTAAAAATGCGCTATAACGCGCTTCGTAGCGCACGAAATTGCGCTATTTAAAACACTGGTTAAAACACATAGAATAATTCCGTAACTAGACCGTAGAGTGTACAAAAGGAAAAATGTATTCAAGTCTACCGCACCCCTTTTTACTAAATACCGCACCTAAAAAAGACAATTTTGCCATTCTCAATTTTTTTTTATTTTTTCTGCTGGTCAGCAGCTAATTGCGGCTGCAACTCACGCGGCCGGCCGCTAATAGCGGCCACCACTCGCTCGGCCGCGCCGTTAATTGCGGCCGCAACTTACACGGCCGCACCGTAATTGCGGCCGCCTCTCGGCCAGCCGGCCCATTTTTTTTTTTTATAATTTAAATATTTTAAAAACTATATAATTTTTTAATATTATCAAATATCAAAGAAACCAATTAATAATTATTAAAGCAAGTTGCTACAATATTTATAGCCATTCCTTGCCTTTCATTGGATTTTCTCATCCAATGTGGGATAATTGTAAATCAAATGTTTCAGTCTCCCAACCTTTTATAGCCACTTTTGGCCTTTATTATTGTGTTTGTAATCGATGTGGGATTGTCCAATGCCTCTAGCCTTTTATAGTTACTTTTTACATTCTTTTTTGCTTTCAAAATCAATGTGGGAGTAAATGATCCATACTTTAACACACTTTCACTATATATGTCAACATGAATATCACATTATCATTAATATCTTAAATTGATAAATGATTAAATTTAACTAAATGAACATGAAATATGGAAAAACATTATGGTTTTTACATAATAAAAGAAAATGCACTTATCATCCTACTTTCATTTTTTTTATAAATGATATAATTTATATATGTGTTAAATATTTAGAAAAATGTATAATTTATTATTATTATTATTATTAAATATGTTATTTATTAATAAATGTGTTATTTGTAATATATATATATATATATATATATTAGTGAAATTATAATTAGTATTGTAATATAAGTTGAAAAAAATGTAAAATTTATTAATTAATTAGTTTGTATGATTATATAATCAAAAAATATTATTTTATTAATTAATATATTAATTACATTTTTATATTAAAAAAGTATATATTTTATAATATATTATATATATAATATATTAATTATAACTAATATATTATATTAGTTATAATTATAACTAACATATATACTTAAGTAAGTAACATATTTAATATATAATAATAAATTATATAATTTTTAAATTATTAAAACATATATAAATTATATTTTTTTATAATCAAATATTTATTTATTATATAAATTATATTAGAATTTAGATATTATGTTATAAATTAGAATTTATTATCTTATAGTTAGAATTTAGAAATTATTATATTATAAATTATAATTCATTATGTTATAGAATTTTATTATTATTATGTTAAAACTTAGAAATTATTAGGTTATATAACATAATACTAATTATCTCTAACAAATACTAATGACTGATGTTATTAAAAATTGTAGTCCCCTTTTTTTCTTAAATCCGCTCCTTTCTAACTCGGTAATAAACTTAAAATAAAAAATAATATTCTTAATTAAATTTGAAATTCATAAATAACAAATTGAACGGAAAAAGTCGGATTCTGTTTGAGCAATTCATTGAGACCGATTAATTTCGTATGATTAGACCGAATTTTATGACAAGATTGTTTGACACTTTTCTCAGAGTTATATGATTCGTGTGAATATTATAGTAGGAAAAGCATTCAAGCTCATGTTTAATTGAAGTATTAGTGAAAATGTTTTGCTTCGTTTTATTTTTATCCATTTCCAAATGCTATGCCACATTATAAATAAACAATTCAATAACAATCAACGCATATGTACTTGATCTAAAGTCAATCACAAACATAAGTTAAAATTAACAATTCAATAACAATCAACGTATATGTACTTGGTCTAAAATCAATCACAAACATAAGTTAAATTAACAATTCAATAACAATCAACGTATATGTACTTGGTCTAAAGTCAATCACAAACATAAGTTAAAATTAACGTATAAGTACGACCGAATATCATAATATATCAAGCGCCCCCGTCCCATCTTATTCGATCGAGTACAACGTTGATCCCATTGAAATATATAGGAGCGTACAACTGTCTGTAGCGTTGTCTACCGAATTTTTCTCCTGAATCACAGCCTGTCGATTTTGCCTGAGCAGTAGTTATATCACAGACCATCTCTTTAGATGAAGCGCTAAGTCCACTTATGTTCTTTTTTGTGTTTCGAGATGATCAATTCGAAACCATCAATTTTAATTCTATACCATAATAATTTTTAACTTCTAACATAATAGTAATAAATCCTAATTTATAAGATAATCAATTCTAATCTATAATACAATAATTTCTAACCATTAATTAAATCTCCTACAACAGTGCATCTGTAACGTTCCCCTCGATGACACCTCATCACCTTATGTTTTTCTTCTTTTTCGTGTTTCGAGATGACCAATTCGAGCCCAATATAACCGTTATCTTTTGCCCATCTAATTTATAACATAATCAATTATAATCTATAATACAATAATTTCTACCCACTAACAAAATAGTAATAAATTCTAATTCATAAGACAATCAATTCTAATATATAATACAATAATTTCTAACTTCTAACATAATAGTAATAAATTCTAATTTATAAGATAATCAATTCCAATATATAATATAATTATTTAAAGTAATATAATTTTTCAAACTAGTATCATTTCTAATTTATAATAATATAATTTATACTAATTAAGTAATTATACTAATAAAGTAATTATACTAATATCATTTTTAACTGTATTTGTTGTTAGTTCATTTTTTTCAATTATAATTAATTATATCTTATACTATTATAATTTATAATAATTAAACTAATTAATAATATAATTTTTTATATACTAATATAATTTATACTAATATACTTTTTTTCATTATAATTAATTATATTTTATACTATCATAATTTATAATAACTATATTAATATAATATATATTATATAATATATTAATTCTATTAATATATATTTATATAAAATATATATTAATATTATTAAATTATACATATTCATATATATGAATGTATAATAATATATATGAAAATATTAATATATATAATTTAATATATATTAATTTAAATTATTAATATATTTTAATTATTAATCAAACTTAATTATTAATTTTTTTCATTTATTATAAAATATATAATAATATATATGAAATTATTTAAATATATTTTTTATATTTCAACATTTTTTAATTAACAAAAATTAAAAACCACAAAAATTTTAAAAAAATACAAATTAATTTATATGTACAAATAGTTAGAAATGCAATTAGAATTTATTATTATTTTGTCAGAGGTTAGAAATTATTGTATTATAGATTAGAATTGATTATGTTATAAATTAGAATTTATTACTATTATGTTAAAAGTTAGAAATTACTATGGTATATATTATAATATAATCATATATTACAATTTTAATGTTCATTTAGTTAAATTTAATCATTTATCAGTTTAAGATAATAATAAGTTTAATTAATGATAATGTGATATTCATCTTAACATACATAGTGAAAGTGTGTTAAAGCATGGATCATTTAGTCCCACATTGATTTTGAAAGCGAAAAAGAAAGACTAAGAGTGGCTATAAAAGGTTAGAGGTTTGAGACAATCTCACATCGATTACAAACACAATAATAAAGGCCAAGAGTGGCTATAAAAGGTTGGGAGAGTGAAAACTTTGATCTGCAATTATCTCACATTGAATGAAAAAGTTTAATGTAAGGCAATGAATAGCTATATATGTTGTAGCAACTTGCCTTAATAACTATTAATCGGCTTCTCTAATAATTAATAATAGTAAAAGATTATATATTTTTTTAAATATTTAATTTTTTTTTTTTAAAAAATGGGACGGCCGCGCGCGGTCGAGCGAGTTGCGGCCGCTATTACCTGCCGCGTGCGGCTTGCCGAGTTGCGGCCGCAATCAGCATTCGGCCGGTCGAGTTGCAGCCGCAATCAGCGACCGGTCGATTCCAAAAAAAAATAAAAAAATTAAAATGCTGGCTCCAGTCTGGCCGGTTTGACCGGCCGAAATCGGCCGGCCGCCGCATGACCGGTCTTGTTGGATAGCATTTTTTCGCCGGAATTATTTGGATGTGTTTTCGGAATTTTTCGGTGTTCGGTTTGGCCGATAAATAAGTTAGAAGGTGAGACATTATTTTTTTTAAAATAAAAATAAAGGATAAAATGTTATTTTAGGGTACGATATTAATAAAATGGGCATCTATCATTATATAAAAAGAACAATTTTTTTACAAATATAGAAATATTTTCCCGCCAATATCATTAAATATATCCTATATATAGTAATTGTTGGACAAATCTGAATATGCAAAAAAATCGGTTCATTAATTGTGTAAAGATTTGTTTCTCTTTTGCAAAAAAAAAAAACGGTTTAAGATTTGTTTCTCTTTTTCCTATTTTTTAGTTTATCAAAATCGTTGTTTGATAATAGATATTTGTTTTTCTTTTTTCTATTTTTAGTATAAATCTACACTAGCTTATCTCTTCTGTTACAAAATCTCATTGCATACGTGTTTAAAAAATCTCATCTCTTATCTATACAAATTTGAAAAAATAAAATAAAATAGAAACCAATTCATAATTGCTACTAGAAATCCATTATCTATTTTAATAAGCTAATTTTCATCTGTCTAATTACTAATATTTTTACAAATATTATAAGTTAACCATACAAAAAAGTATAATAATAATTTTAAAATGGTGTGTAATCAAATTTTTTTATATTCTCTTATACAAAATAATTTTACATTGTTTGACCCCGAATCTATAATTTATAATTATTAAGTATTGTTTATCCTTATTTTTAATTTATAATTATTTTTTTCTTCCTCTTTTTAAATAGAATTAATAGTAGTTTCCACTTTCGTCATGACTCTAACTCGAGATTTATTTATAATATTATTAATTTAATATTATTCTCGTGCATCGCACCGGTACACATTAAAAAAAAAATTACCACACTCGCATCCTATGATTCTAGAACGCACGAGGCCGAGGCTAAAGTATTCAAGTCACGCCACATGTCGGCAAAAAGACGAGAAATGGCATTTTTGAGGTCAGTGGTGACGACAAAAACAGCAGCCACAGTCACGATTCCGGCCGTCTTCTCTCTATCCTCTCCTTCTCACTCTTCTGTGTCTTTCCCAAGCCTGCCCAGAAACTCTTCTTCTTCAAAGTCTCTCGCTTTTTTCTCAAATAATTCTATTAGAGGACTCGCAAAATCGTGTCTTGTGAAGGGTTTTGAGAACCCATCTTCTGCTGTTGCTGAAATGGATCCGAAACCAGCGGCGCAGGTTGTAATTTATCTTTATTTTCTCAATTGGGCGTGCTTTTATGTGGTCTATTATGGGTGTTCCTGTTTTTCTTTCGTGGACTCGAATATAATTCGCTTTGAATATGACCCTGCAGGACGGTGTCGTTTTACCGGAGCTACTGGTGAGTTGTGCTTTCTTTTTTTGGTTTGCCAATACCGTCAGCTGCCAGCTTTTTAGATTTATTGTATGTTGTTTCGGTGATTAACAGAATGAGGAAAAGTTCTCCCCCATCTATGCAATGTTTTGTAGGTTGTAATTGATTTCGAATAGATACTCGACAGTTTAGCTCTCGAATCTTTCAGAAAATGGTGAACTTTTGTGGATAGATAGAACTGAATGCGTAAATTTACTGCCTTTCCAAGTTGTTGAATTGTTTTCAAGTTGGATACAGGTTTTGTTCTCAGGGACTGTTTATGACAATGGTTGTTGCAGAAGAAATATCTATTATCTTTATTTGAATTAACTCTATAAGTAGAATAACTGTGGTGTCTACTGAGAACTATACAAGGATATGGAAGGCGCATCTGAAGTCAAAAAACGAATGTAGAAGTGGAAAATATAAAATAAAAGGAAAAATACTTTCTTTCTCTCTTCTAAGCCTCATGTTATTGCGGTTCACTTTTAAATACTTCTTTTGTTTTTGTCTTCAAATGTTAGTCATGGCTTGAAAGCTCACGTAAGTTGAATGAATGAAGAAAGTAGACAGTAGACAGCTTAATGTGAGAAAAGAAAAAGAAATCACTTTTGAACATGTGAAGAGGGGTTTCGTTACTCTGTTAAGACATTGGGAATGGGTCAGGAAATGGTTCACTAATGCGGCTAAAGCCATGTGCGCCTTGTAATGAAACCTCTATGATTTTGCCAAATTTAATTTTGTTCCAGATTTAACAGAAAAAATATCATTTAAACTATGTTGGTGAAGCGATTGCGAAAGTACATGTATCATTGCATCCACAAATAAATGTGCAGTTCTGCATTTATGTGCTATATTTAATGATACACACTTGCATATGTTATTCTCATTGCGCTTGTCCTAATGAAATATAGATCATCAAAGTTTGTTTTTAGTATTGCTATTGCAGCAACAACGTGGACTTCTATTTTATGTCGATACACATAACCTGCACTGAGTCTAGGACTGAATGTTAACCATGTTGGACTTATTGGTTTTTATTCTCATGTTTATTTACTTTAGCTGTATGGTTGTTTCCCTTTACCATCTCTTTTTCTTTATTTTTTGTTTCTTCACTCTTTGTTTTCTTTTTTTGGATGATGGTGAGGTGAGGGAAATTTGACTCAGTTTAATCTTGCATATCGGGGAAGATACGTGAAAACATTGAAATAAAATCATTTGACCATGTAACAAGATGTTGTTTTACTCAATGGTATGCATGGACAGACTGAGTTTATGGTGGATATGTCATGTGAGGGCTGTGTAAATTCGGTCAAAACTAAGTTGCAGACTGTTGAAGGTGAGTAACAGAAAGTATCACTGCTCAGTGGTTCTCTTAAGTATTTCGTTTTGTACTAAAATTACAAATTATTGTTCAACTTCTAGGGGTTAAAAATGTGGATGTTGACTTGGCAAATCAAGTTGTACGTGTTCTTGGGACCTCACCTGTGAAAATCTTGACCGAATCCTTGGAGCAGACAGGTCAGAAAGCCAGATTAATTGGGCAAGGAGTACCAGAAGGTAAACTAGCATCTATTATTCGAATTGTTATCTTCTCAATCGCTGTCTGGTGAAGACCTGACACCTTGAAAGGGTGGCCATGTCTGTAAACTACATAATAAATGTATTTTTTTTTTCCGCTCCCAAATAGTCATCTTGTTGGTTCTATTGAATTGTCCCTGACATTGAGCTTTTTATGTTTAAGAATTCATAAATAATAAGAAAAGAAAAGTGTTCAGCTGTACTTTATATTGATATTCAGCTGTTTGCGGATTCAATTCTGTAAAAATCGATGGAGAGTGTTAATAATTTAATTGGAGTCGCACTCCTGGTGTTTATGGTGCAGATTTTCTAGTTTCAGCTGCCGTTGCTGAATTTAAAGGTCCATCGGTATTTGGAGTTGTTCGTCTAGCCCAAGTGAACATGGAACTGGCTCGTATAGAAGCCAACTTCAGTGGTTTGCCACCTGGGGAGCACGGCTGGTCCATCAATGAATTTGGTGATTTGACCAAAGGTGCCGCAAGCACAGGAAAAGTGTTCGATCCAAAAAAAGATGAAAAACAGGTTGGTGTCCGATCCTCATTTTCACTATGCAAACATTAATTTTACGAATTATGATCTTGACATCCCAACATCTATTCGAGTTTTATACTTTTTATGAATCTATTTGGCCAGAAGGATGAAATTTTGCCATTGGTCAAGGATCTAGTTCTTTGTAATTGACTTTTGAATCTATACATACAAAATAGGAATGACAATAATATAAATCATCAATGCTTTCATCCAATTGTATTATTCCCTTAATTCCATTTCCCAAAACGATTATGTCTTTTGTTGTTTGAGTTCGACGTGTATTTACTTGTTTCTTCTGGTCTTGTCATACCATCATTCTGAAGTGTATTAATGCATTCTTTTAGTCCAAATGAAAGTGAGAAACGAATGATCGTATTTATGGCCGTCAAATCCCTTGTTGCATTCAACTAAATCAACGTGTTTTTACTTTACAGCCCCTCGGTGACCTGGGAACATTATCCGCCAATGAAAATGGCGAGGCCTTCTTTTCTGGAGCCAAAGAGAAGCTGAGAGTTGTGGATCTGATTGGACGGTCCATAGTGGTTTATGGGAATAAAGATAAGTCGGATGAAGGCATTGCTGCTGCAGTTGTTGCGAGAAGTGCGGGAGTTGGTGAGAACTACAAAAAGCTTTGCACTTGTGATGGCACCACTATTTGGGAAGCAACCAATGCAGATTTTGTCAATAGCAAGGTTTGAGCACCATGATCTTGGGGTTTAGTTTATGTATTGTATCATTACAAAGAAATTTCTATGAAACAGAAATAAAAGGTGGGGATCTCAAATGCATGTGCTAACAGTTTATTAATCTATTTGGTTGTACTCAGCTACAGAAATCTCGAATAACTAATAGTATAATTGATATAATGGAATGAAGTTCGATTCTGCAATGAAATGAGTTAGAAGAATGAAATGATTATGCTTAAGGAATGATTTTTTTTTTTTCATTGACGTGTCTGGTATGCAGAATGAGTAAGACCTGAATGGAATAATATTATCATCTTATATTATCATTTATCACTATTTTATAAAAAAGAAATATTTATATTAATTTTATTTTCTTAATATTGTTTTTTAAAAAGTTATTATATTTTTATAAATTATTTTTGTATTGTTACACTCATCTTATATAATAAACAAGTGAATTATGATTTATATGTATATTAATTAATATAAATATATCATTACATAAATGTTTATAAGCATGTGTTGCCAAATATAATTATTTATAATATAATTCTATTTATGAATAAATATATAATATATGTGATTATATAAAAATAAAATAATATCTTTCTAAACTATTTGTAAAAGAATTTTTTGAGAGTTTTATTTTTATATAAGTATTTAATATATCTTAATAAATATGAATAATAAATAAAAATAAAATTATATTTATTTATTTATTTATAATTTATTTTTTCGCATGTTGTTCAATATAATTTAATTAGTATTTATAGTATATATTATAGATTTATTTTTTATTGTTATTTGTTACTTTTATTTTTTATTTATTTATTTATTTTTGAAAATTGAATCCTAAAGATATACATGAACGAGAAAGCCATGTATTAGCTATGGAATGGTTAGTGCTATAGAGATGAATTTTGAATGATCATTACTTTCTAAAAAAAATATATCAATTATGAGATTAAGAATGAGAAAAAGAATGCTCATTCTCACATGTCATTCCATCATATCAATTATGCCATAATAGTTACCGCTTTTTGGATTTTGAATTATTGCACATTTCTGGAATTGAAATAAACCCAAAAAGAAGTATTGCAATTCAAATGGCTGGTTTATACTCCCCTGCTGCTAGAATCGTTTTCTAGTAAAATAAATAAAAAAAAATAAAAAAGAAAAATAAACAGCAATAGATACAGATAACGCTCAAGCTGTTCGGAGAAATCCATCTCTCATGGCCATCTCATAGAGAGCAATAGCCATGAGGACTTTAGCATCAGAGGTCATCCGCCACAGGTTCTTGTAGGGGACGACGTGCACACGGATCAACTCACCATGATCCCGTAGACCAGTTTCTTTACCTTGCAGCTGTTTAATAATCTCTTTATCCACACTGCCTCTGTACAAAAACAGGCCGATTTCTTCATCACATCCGCCCTAATAACCCAAAAATAAGTCGGTTGAATTAGCAATAGAAGTAGAATAAGCAATTAATCAACATAAGTTTCCCCAAATATCTTTCACAAAAGTTTATTAGGAAATTTCCAATATTCTCAAGTGTAATTGGAAATTTATTTTTTCCAGTATGCATGTGACATGAAGATGATGATGATGATACCTCCGAGAAACAATATAGAATTTTCCAAAATAAGTAACGGATACAAATTGTTGACAAACCGGAGAAGGAAACACTCTATTCCCAGTAGAAGGATCTAGAAAGGCAGTGAGATCAACAAGGTCATCCAGATTCAAGTGCAATCCAGTCTCCTCCTCAACCTGCCACACACATCTGATCCAACAAGTGAGAAACTGAAGAGACCTCAACTTTGACACTCATATGAGGCTGCACATGACACCTTTAGCACCTGAGATATAAAACTTTGCGTGGAAAGGAAAGAAAAGCAGCACAGATAAACTACTGTGCACTAGTAGCATAAACTTTGTGCAAAAGTAGTACTGATGAGTGGTCAAATTACTATTGAGGTTGAAATTTGGGAATCTTGCTTAAATATAATGGGATAAAAGTGGCAGGTTCCTGGCAGGAATATATTTTGGTTCGGAATGTGAGTTTAGATTTCCGTGGTTATAAGAAATTGCAGGAAGCAATTTTGTAAGGTTTTAATACTTCCATTGCACATTATGTAAGTTCTGATCGTGCTTTGTAAGATACAGTTAGGATTTGCAATGCAGCAGTATGTCAACAGTATCAGGTGAAAACAAGGGTATCTCTACATTTCACATTTTGTGACGTAGGAGCATGCTTTTGAGATGAGCTCTAAATAGAGGAAACAGGAAGTTAGAAAGGGAAAAAAGAAAAAGGAAATAGCGAAACAAAAGGAAACAACACTGTTCCTATACTTGTCCTTGTAAATTTCACTTTCTCAAAAGACAATGGGCGATAAAAACCTGTCACCAGAAACTTTCAGGCAATGCAATATGAAGTAGGATAATGTGATTTCTGATTATCATGTCACAAAGTCCATAAAGTTCTTAAAACCAAAGGGTTATTTGTTAACTTGTGTTAAACCATCTAATTGAATGCCAATGTAGTCACTTTTATCAATGATCTTACATCCCCAAAAAATTGTTATCATAGTTCGGTTCAATGCATTAAGTTCATCTTCCACGCCAATCAGATTCTAGTATTGCATACTGAAAAATACAGTACGACAGTATGTCACCTCCTGAAATTGTATAAACTTACTTAGCTCAGTGTTCACACTTACAGAAAAGAGATGTTGAACTAATGTGCAATTTTCATTCTCGAAAACTACTGTGACTAACAAATTATATAGGGGTTGAATGATATCACGGAACAACTGAAGAAGCTTAACTATTTAGGGAACACACGCAGACGAGGGAGAGAGAGAGAGAGAAAGACCTCACGAACAGCTGTTCCAACTACATCACCTTTGTCATCATCCAACATTCCAGCCGGTAACTCCAATATAAGCTTCCCAACAGGGACCCTAACCTTCCACATTCACGGTAGTTAATTAGAGTTTCAGGAGACAGAAGTTAAAGTGTTTTATGCTCTTAAGGGCCTAATTTAAGAAAAATATACTCCCTCTATCCACCACAAAGGTACTCTTATGATAACTTTCACACAATTTAAGTAAGTACAATTGTTGTTGGGAGTACTTCTAAATTAATTGGTGTTATATTCAGAACTCTATCTAATTGGTTATCAATAAATTAAATGAGAGCAACAATGAAACTTACCATTATAAATACTCTATTTAAAAAAAAGAACAAAAAAAAAAAACATGCTTACCGTTGTAGGACACCAAAATAGTAATACGACAGGATGGATTAATGAAAAATATACCTGCTCTGTCAGCACTGCATAGGTCTCTCCATCTGATTCCAAGAGAATTAGCACTGCAACAGCTGGACCTCGTGCAAAAACAATGCCAGGAACCTGTCCGTGTTTGGCATAACATTGAAATACTGAATACAACGAGTGCAAAATAATACGAAATGCAGTAGCCGAGTATGAAATTGTTGATTAATCCATTTTTTTTCCAATATGATATTGACTATAGATTTGTAGGAGATGAATTCCAAGATTTATTTGTTTGAAAAATTGTGAGCTGACCCACGTGTAAGTACAACACAAACATCAGTAGAATGTACCACGGACAACAATTATCAAATTGATTGTTCTCCATCCTCCATTAGATCCATAAACCACTTTCATATGAGAAAAAATGCTTAACAAAAACAATATGGACCACAAGAAAAAGGTCCATCTCAATGAATCCACAACAGTCTTAACAACGGATTGCGAAATACCTTGTTCCCTGTTTGTTTATCAATTACATCAGCTTCGAACTTCAGAAATCCAACACGATTGCCAAACATATCAACATTCTGTTCCAGGAAGCGAAAAAACAGACAACTTCAGGAAAAATGTAGTCTTTAATAGCAAGGAAAATCAATAATTGATGATGACATTTCCTATCTAGTCATCCCAATAATAAGTTTGAAATATCAAATACGACATAAGATTTAGAGTGATACTTAGTTTTATCACATCAATACATAACAAAATTGTGTATACAATATAGCACTCTTCGGCTGCTTTTCGCAGTGAAGACGGGACAAGCAAAATTGCTAATCTGCTCATGTAACTTTCCACGGAAAAGGAAAGAACTTGTTGATTTCAACGCAAAACAACTTCACAATATAAATCTCATCTATAGCATCATCTATCATTTTAATATGCATGTTCTCAAACAATTCAAGAATTATTGACATTTTTACACAGAATAACATGGTGTAGTCAAAATGATACTATTGCAAGTTTGCAACTGCAGTCTTAGCAGAAGCAACGACTTTTCTAACATAGTAGTTTTTGTTGAAATTTCAACTAATACATAATAAAACAATTTGGATTTAACTTTTGTAGATTTGATTTTGATAAATGGGCTTGGGTCGAACTCGTACCCAAAAGCTAGCTCAAATGGAGAGGGTGACCAACCCACACTTATACACAATAACAGCTCAGTAACTAATCGATGTAGGACAGACATAACTTCAACACCAGCCCTCACCCGCAGCATGCCAAACCAGATGGGCCGAGTTCAAAACCCACCATCGCCTCCAAACAAATAAAACTTGGGCGCTCTGCAACCAAGATAAATGGGCTTGGGTAGAACTCAGTCATCCCCAGAAGCTAGCTCAAAGGGAGAGGGCGACCACCCACACTTATACTTAATAACAGCTCAGTAACTAAACGATGTGAGACAAGTAAAACTTCTAAAAGTGATGAGAGAACAGTCAAATGTGAGCATACAAACCTGAATGATAACTTTTGTAACAGACATATCCCCACTAGACAGCAACCCTGTTCTAGTTTGAATATTTTTCAGCCATTGTTTGAACAGTGTACTTTCTATAGCATTCCTGCATCAATAATAGACTCAGCTAAAATCTGACAAACAGTAAATAAAGAATTTTTTCATAAGGTGAACGCTATCCTATACAAATACATGCTCAAGTTCAAGTGGTACTAGTTACCAGCCATTATGAAGAATGCTATAATTACTACCGGGAAATGGTCAGTAACATGAAAGCACAGAAATCTACGCACTATACCATTCTCATATCTTATAAATTATAGAATTTCCCAGAGTATGATATACTTTCCATGCGGGATTAAATAAAGATGTAATAGAATTCAGTAATAACTAGCCATATCTCATAAGACATGACAAGTGCAGAATACTTCTATAATTGCAAAAGTATCAGCCAGAGAATTGTGGTTTGAACAATGTACGCTTTATAGCAAGAAAAGAAACAACCCACAATATTATATTAAGTCATCCAGATGGTAATTTGCAAAATTCACATTTACAGAAATTTTGAACGTAACAAAGCTGTAGTTGTAGTTTCTAATGTTTGCATTTTCAAACATACAAAGTTTGCAGAGCACAGTTATCTCGTCACATGACCAAAGAAGTGTGGATGCACGTAATCACAGTTACCAATTCAATTACACAAAAAAGAAAAGAAAAATCTACAACCCGTTTTCTAAAACTAACTCTAGTACTTTATCACACGAATCAAATGTTAGTCAATTTGAGTGTAGAATTAATTTCTAAACCAATTCCAATCTTCCAACCAAAATCAACTTTTCCAAACCTTCACACCAAATATCCAATTTTTCCAAACTATCAAACCAAATATTCAACCATCAAAATGTTGCCATTTGCTATAAATACCACTTTGGTGCAAATGGAAAAGACACCAAAGACGAGAAGGAAAAGAATAGAGGTGAAGGGAAAAGAAGAAAGAAAGGAAAGAGAAAAAGAAAAAAAAAATTGTGAGAAAAATTATAGAAAAATTATCATATAGATAATTTTATTTCTATTTTGTAAGTGCTCAATTCTCAACTTCGATCTAGTTCGCCGGAGCTCGTAAATCTGGTGTGCTACAGATTTAGAGACGTTTGTCCTTGTATCTTTGGGGAAGTTACGCTTGAACCGGGGCGTATTCTTCTTGCGGAAAGAGTTTTACTCGCCTCGGCTAAAATCTTTCTATTTTTCCAAGTTATAATTTATTTTCAGATCTATTGTAATTTTCTATTTTTAGATTATTTGTAAAAACTGAAAATTACATATATGTAGGATTCCGGTGTAATTTTTTATACCCGATTATAACATCAAAAATACTACTACCAACTCAAAAGGCCCAACTGCAAATCCAACATAATCAGAATGATATGAATTCCACGTATGCAAACTACACAATCGCAAGGGGCAAAATAAAAAATAAAAAGACAAGTGAAACCATAACAAATTCTGAGAGCTCCTTATGGAAGAACGAGATGGGTGCCGTACCTGAAATCAGAATCTGAGATGCCACAAGCGGCCACGACGGTGACGGGTTGGCCAAGTTGATCCGGGAGATCGTCGATGGTGTGAGTGAGTTGGGATGAGGCCGACCCGGAGGCCATTTTTACCAAGAAAGCTGGAATCGTTCTACGAAAATAAGTAGCGCGAGCGGAGGAGAAATGTGTTGGATTTTGCAGCGGGTTCGAGATTTTGCTGCTGAGAATGCGTCTCGAAAGGGGAAAAACCGGTGCCGATAGAAGAAAGAGTGCACTCATTTTTTTACCTTGTGCGACTCAACGTGGCCGATTTGAAATGAATTAAATATATCCAGATTCTGAATTTTATATATTTTTTTTTTTTTCAGAAAAATTCTTAGAAAAATTCTACAAATACATAATAAAATGTATATAGAAATGTACATAACACTCATATGAAGTGGGGTCCACTTGATTTTTTATTTCTTGTAAGACGCACTCCATGTGATTATTATGTACACCCTTATGTACACTATAATAGCATTGCTCTTTTTCTTAATTGATTTTTATGGAGTTGCACATTTTTTTTTGTCAATAATAACCCTCTTCAATGAGGATAGAGATGGATGTTTAGAGAAAAATATGAAGAGTGAATATGAAAAAAAATGTATTATATTTATTAGCTAAATGAGGGTAATAATGAAAAAATATGTAAAAAAGATCCAAATCGTCATTTATTTATTTAATTGTTGATAAAGTCAAAATGACATTTAAATAAAGAGGAGAGAATATTTTATGTGTTTTTTGCTTTTGGTACCTGAAATTCTTACTCAATCAATTTTGGTTCTCGATATTTCAGCCATTAATTGATTTTGGTCCATACACTCAACTTTTCCGTCAAGTGATGATGGCGTGGGAAAAAAATTCATTAAAGTCATTAGAAACATAAAAATGTGGTTAAAAAAAAAAATTGAAACTCAAATTAACCACAAAATTGAACTCAAAACTTAAATTGATAAAGGGTTTCTATAACCGAGGAAAAATCTATACTTATATAATAAGAATTAACATTTATCCAAAATAGTAGGTCAAATTATGGTCAATGTCGGATTTGCATTAAATATTTTTCAAAACCGGTAAGTTTTTGTCCTTTTCACACTTCTCATTAATTATGTCATTTTCACACTTCTCATTAATTATGTCATTTTCACACATCTAATTAATTCATTAATTACGACATAATTATCATAAATCATTCCATCTGAGCTTTTATCGTTAAAATGTATAGCGATCTGTTATGACCTTATCCCATTGATATTTCATAAATCATTCCATCTGAGCTTTTATCGTTAAAATGTATAGCGATCTGTTATGACCTTATCTCATTGATATTTCCATGAAGCGTCCTTATCGCGTTCTATTTTTTGGTAACCACTCTATATCAATAACCGGATATTTGGTTAATGATAGCACACGTCTTTATTTCAAGGAGCGGATATTCTTTGACCTTTAATTAATCTGAACTAATTGCCTTGACTTTTCAATTTTTAAAAACTCTTTTTTTAAATATTTCGGCTTAAGATTCGGATTTCATTATACAAGTCATCGGATTGTTTGAATGAAAATGAATGAAAAGAACACGAAAAACAGGTAGCCTTATTCATATAACCAATCATAAAATATTAGTTTGTTAACCAAAAAGAGACAAATCCCAGAAATTCTAAAATATTAATTTGTTCACTAATCCTAAAATATTAGTTTGTTCACCAAAAATATTAGTTTGATTTTTAGGATTTATCTCTTTTGAAAATATTAGTTTGTGATAATGAGGAGTTACCAAATAATCGAACTCATAATGTTGTGTACAAGGAGGTTTTTAATAATATATGATTGTTACCGAACTTTTTATGATTCAACAATGTTCCTATGTATTTTAATGATTTCAATTTCGATCCTAATGCACGTGAGGTTATATTATTCTTCCAAATTTTACATCTCGTGCATCGCACGGGTTATGTACTAGTTAATGATAATAAGATCTCATCCCTCAAATTTAGACAATCGCGGCTTGAAGTTTTTAAATCATGTCGCTGCCACCCAAAAAGCTGGTAACTTTCTCAAAAATAACGAATGGAATATCCGATTGACGATCGGAAGATACCGTAGGCAGGGCCGTCTTCAGAAATTTGGAGGCCCCAGACAATTTTTTTTTTTTCGAAGTTCCCAATTTGAATTTATGTGGTAAGCAGGGAAGAAAAAAACAGCTACTTCAACAAGTCAAGCTAAATAAATAAATAATTGAAAAAGAAATAATTTTTTTTGTTTTTCATCAATCTTGAAATATATCTTGAAAATGATAAATTATCTCTGGAGTTTACAGAGATATTTAATAAATTACATTGAAGCACTCACGAGGACATTAAGATAAAAAATAAAAAATAATATCACTGAAACTAATTATTCTAATAAAAATTGTTCATACCAAACATCATAAGAAAACAAATGAAGGTTTTCAAATTCACAAACGAATTACATATTTAACCATTAGCCTTTTTATTAATTAGCTTCTTCATTTGTGTAGTGGATCAAGTCCATATTTAGTCATTAGCCCTTAATTCTTTATTAATTAACATTTTTGTTTGTGTAATGGGCTAAGTCAATATTTAGTCATTACTCATTCATTAATTAGGCCACTTCATTTATACAAATGGATCAAACCCAACACAAATGCATAGTATTAACCAAAAAAAAAAAAAATGTGGCCCCAAATAAATTGAGGCCCTAGGCAAGAGCCTCTCTGCCTCCCCATTGGAGCCGACACTGACCGTAGGCATCTTTAAGAAAAATAAAACTTTTAAAATATATTTTCTAAAAACACCCGACGATCAGATCTCTAATACATTTGACCAAAGTTCAATGCCCAATATTTAGAAATTTGGCAGGTGGTGGGGCAACAACGAATGGCAGTAGGGGGCGGCACCCAGTGGTTGGGTACGGTGACTGGCAACATCGGCTGGGGCGGTGGCTGGCATCCTCGGTGACAGTAGGGCTGAGTATGGGACTCGAAGAATTCCGAATTATTTCGAAAACCGAATCGAAATCACTCCGAACCGAAAAATAACCGTTAATCGTTTCACTTTCTTCGAACCGAATCGAACCGAAAAAATAATTGGTACGGTTCTGGAGATTTCACAAATATCCATATCAAGAACCGAACCGAATTGTTCCATACCGTACCGAATCGAAGAACCAAAAAATAATGAGGCTTTACTGGTTAAGCAGCTTTGGAGGGTGACATTCGTCATATTTACATGCATTATGAGTGATATATTATGATATTTAACCATGTTTATTGTTGGATTGTGCACCATTTTCTTAAATTTGTTAATCTATGATAGAGGTAGTTTTGTCGTTAGTTTTGAAAGAAATATGCCCGAAAAAGCGTTAAAAATGGAGCCGAGATGAAAAACGATGGAAATGAGGTACAGTCGAGGACGCACGACTCGTGTGGGTAAGTGACACGAGTCGTGTGGATGAGAAAAAAAAAAGAGTTTTGTTACAGTTTTTTCACACGGGTCGTGTGGCATGGTGACACGGGTCGTGTGGTCCCACGCAGGTCATGTGACCACTCGTGTGAGTCTGGAGTCCAGATCTTTTGGAGAAAAAGTCACACGACTTGTGTGGCTATATGACACGAGTCGTGTGACGCGGAGACCAACTCAGCGGGGACTAGGATTCTGATGCGATTTCTTTCCTATTTCAACCAATATTCGGCCTACACTATAAAAGGGACTTGGAGAATTCGGTTTGGGGACTTTTGACACCTTTGGAGGCTGAGAGAAAGCACGAGATGCACAAGGAATTCGAAGAAGTCATGATTGAAGATTCAGGAACTAACAATGACAATAGTTCTTCTTTCTTTTCTCTTTTTCTTCTTCATTGAACTCATGTATTTATTTATTTTGAGATTTGAGAACAAGTCTAGTAGCTAAATCTTTTTGCGATTCTAGGATTTGTGAGTATTCGGATTATTTTATGAAGTAATTTTATTTATTCATTCTGGTCTATCATTCGTTTATCAATTTCTTGTGCTTATATTAATTGTGTGAAAATAGGGGTCGTATTTATGCATGTTTGTGATTGACTTGAGACCGAGAAGAGATAGTTGATTGCTAGAATTGGAAAATTCATAGTAGGAGACTAAACAGACTGAGAGGTTGATAGAATCTTGCGAGGGAACTAAAATCTTAGAGGATGCTTGGATATAAATTATTTTGGTTTTGTTTGAATTTTTTGGTTTGATATGATTAATTTTAAAAAAAGTAGTATGGTAAGTTGTTAGTGGTATTTTGAATTTATATTAAAATAATATTTAAAATGAAATAGTTAAAGTTGATTTGATGTAAAAGTATGAGAGAGATGATGTGAAGTGATTGTTAGTTAAATTATGTGAGTAGGTGAATAATAATGAACTAAAGTTGATGCAATGTGTAATAATAATTGATTTATATTATTTAATTATAGTGATAATATTAATGATGGTGGGGTTGAGTTAAAGTTGAAGTAGATTTGATTTAAAAAAAAGTGATTGGTTAAAAATGATTGAATTTTTTTTTTTTTTAAAAAAAAATTGTATCCAAGCATCCCCTTAGGAATTAGGGGAGTTAATTGTTCATCTTGAGACCAAGAGGTGATAAATAGCAATTAATCAACGATTTAGCTTGCTCGAGAAAGATGTTAAATTACTTTACTGATTATCCCTATGATTGGTGGAATTAAATAAGATTTAAATGAAAAAGAAATCTTTACTAGAATAATCTCGAGGAAAACTTAGCCTAGAATCTATGTCCTTGATTTATTAGAGTAAGCCTTCACTAGCGTTAGAAGTTATTTTTTGCAATCATTCATTAGTTTAGAGTTAAATCTCCATTCAAATTTACACTAGTCTAAATAATATTTAATCGTCTCCATTTTGGTACTTAATTATTTTAACAACAATCTCTGTAGAATATGATCTTGCTTACTGCTTATTATAGCTACACCGTACACTTGATGTTAGTGAAAATATTGTGCAAACAGAGGGTAGTCACAAAGCCTAGCTTATTCATGAGCAGAATTGTCAAGAGCATGTATTTTTCTACCACTTCTTTATTTGATGCTCAACTTAAACAAAACTCATCTTGTCTGTGGAGATCCTGGTGGAAAGTTAGATGGTTGCTGCAAAAAGGCTTACTGGTGGAAGTCAGGAATGGTGCTTCAGTGAGAGTACAGTATCATAATTGGGTACTAAGAATTATAAAAAGGAACCTTCAGCTGAAAAGTCTGGACAATAGTCCTACCATTTGGGTGAAAGACTTGTTAGATGAGAGCAGGGGTCAGTGGGATGAACAAAAAGTCGAAGAATTGTTTGAGGAGGAAGATTGTGTTTCTATCCTTCAAATTCGATCTCTAAATCCTCTTGTGGAAGACAAATGGAGCTGGAGCATGGACAAAACAAAGATGTTTACAATAGCTTCTTCTTATGCCTTTCTAAGCCAGAGAAAGTTTCATGACCTAGATATTGCTAACGGGAGCGCTTCTGCTGAGAGTACTAGGATGGTAAGATTGAGAAGTTGGAGGCTCAAAGTCAAAGTAAGATCAAACATTTTATTTTAAAATGCTTTTCTAGCTCTTTACCTGTCAATGTGAATGTGAGAAGTAATGGAATTGCAATAGATGTTATCTGCAAATGTTGTGGTGAAGAGGAGGAAACTATTGAACATGTTTTTGTTTTTTTTTTTTCAAATGTGTGAGAGCCAAAAGGGTATGGAAGCATGCACCTGTTTATTGGGATGAAATCAAATCAAATTCTTGCAGGTTTGAAGAGTGGTGGGGTATGATTTTCTCTATCGACCATTTTGATGTTTCTGAGGCCAGAATTGAACTAACAAGCTATTTACTACGGTACCTTTGGAAATCTCAAAGCTTGTGGTTGTTTGAAGAAGTTTGGAGACTGGAGTAGTGTATTGTGAAGTGTGAACGCTGCTGTTGGTGAGTGGCTTGAAGCTCCCGGTGTTGGATCTAAGTCCAGAAGATCAAGATAGAAAGGCCTAGTTATGTTTGTTTTTTACAGTTCAGTGACTTGGTTTTTCTGTTTTTGGTTTGGTGAACCTTTGTTTTAGTTGTTTTGTGTTATCTAGCCGGAGGTCTCAGTGTGTTTTTCTACCTCCGGTTAGGTTTGGTTTGGTTTGTCCTTTAGGCTACAATAGTGTGTTGTAGTGCTCTCTGGTTTGTGCCTTCGGCTTCGAGTTTTGACCCGAGTGTACTCGGACTTTGTTCTCATTGTTCTTATTGGAGTATTCTATCATTCCGTTAAAAAAAATGTATTTGAGTATGTAAAATTTAATACTAAGTCTCATTTATTTGTGTGGCATATTCAATAAAATGATATATGAACCTTAAATATCATGTTATATAACAAGAATAAAATGATTAGTATACCGTTTCATGGCAGCCTTTTTAATAAATATGTTGTTTTTTCTAATTAAAATTATCTTGTAATTTAAAAAAACCTAATTAATAATTAAAAGTTTTCATCTTTCATATATATAAAAGAGTAGTTAATAATTTACAAAGGAGGTCCATCTCCATATAAAACAAGATTACAAAGTATAATAATTGATTTTTATTCTACAAATACAATATTCATATTTTAAGATTATTTAATGCGTGATTCATGTAATTTATATTAATACTTCAAAATGGTTTTCATTCTTTTATTCTTTTATACATGCATCTAGCTAGAATATTCAAGTCAAGTACTTCGTTGTTAAAAATAAACGAGTTGTCATGAGTCATGGCTCAAAGTCTCAACTTGTTTAATAAACAAATAAAATATAGACTCGAGTTTGGATCATTTAAACTCGGTTCGACTCATTTAATAAACTTTTAAACCTAGACCAAAATCTAAAATTCTAACTGAGTCTAGAATTTGTGAGTATTCAGATTATTTTATGAAGTAATTTTATTTATTCATACTGGTCTATCATTCATTTATCAATTTCTTGTGCTTATATTAGTTGTGTGAATGTAGGACCCGTATTTATACATGTTTGTGATTGACTTGAGACCGAGGGGAGATAATTGATTGCTAGAATTGAAAAATTCATAAAGTAGGAGACTAAACAGAACGAGAGGTTGATAGAATCTTGCGAGGGAATTAAAATCTTAGAGGATGCTTGGATATAAATTATTTTGGTTTTGTTTGAATTTTTTGGTTTGGTATGATTAATTGTGAAAAAAGTGGTATGGTAAGTTGTTAGTGGTATTTTGAATCTATATTAAAATAATATTTAAAATAAAATAGTTAAAGTTGATTTGAGTTAGATTTGAATTAAAAAAGGTGATTGATTAAAAATGATTGGATTTTTTTTTTTGAAAAACATTGTATCCAAGCATCCCCAACTAGGGGAGTTAATTGTTCATCTTGAGGCCAAGAGGAGATAGATAGCAATTAATCAACGATTTAGCTTGCTCGAGAAAGAGGTTAAATTACTTTAGTGATTATCCCTACGATTAGTGGAATTAAATAAGATTTGAATGAATAAGAAATCATTGCTAGAATAATCACGAGGAAAACTTAACCTAGAATCTATTTTCTCAACCTTGATTTATTTAGAACAATCCTTCATTAGTGTTATAAGTTATTTTGCAATCATTCATTAGTTTAAAATTAAATCTCCATTCAAATTTGCACTAGTCTCAATAATATTTAATCATCTACATTTTGGTACTTAATTATTTTAACCACAATCGCTGTAGAATACGATCTTGCTCGCCGCTTACTATAGCTACATCCTACACTTGCTGTTAGTGAAAATATTTTGCAAACAACAAAGCCTAGCTTATTCATGAGCAGGATTGTCAAGAGCAAGTATTTTTCTACCACTTCTTTATTTGATGCTCAACTGAAACAAAACTCATCTTGTCTGTGGAGGTCCTGGTGGAAAGTTCGATGGTTGCTGCAGAAAGGCTTACTGGTGGAAGTCAGGAATGGTGCTTCAGTGAGAGTGCAGTATCATAATTGGGTACCAGGAATTATAAAAAGGAACCTTCAGCTGAAAAGTCTGGACAATAGTCCAACCATTTGGGTGAAAGACTTGTTAGATGAGAGCAGGAGTCAGTGGGATGAACAAAAAGTCAAAGAATTGTTTGAGGAGGAAGATTGTGTTTCTATCCTTCAAATTCAATCTCTAAATCATCTTGTGGAAGATAAATGGAGTTGGAGCATGAACAAAACAAAAAAGTTTACAATAACTTCGTCGTATGCCTTTCTAAGCCAGTGAAAGTTTCATGACCTAGATATTGCTAACGGGAGAACTTCTGTTGAGAGTACTAGGTTGATAAGATTGAGAAGTTGGAGGCTCAAAGTCAAAGTAAGATCAAACATTTTATTTTAAAATGCTTTTCTAGCTCTTTACCTGTCAATGTGAATGTGAGAAGTAATGGAATTGTAATAGATGTTATCTGCAAATGTTGTGGTGAAGAGGAGGAAACAATTGAACGTGTTATTTTTTTTTATTTTTTTTTTTTATTTTTTTATCAAATGTGTGAGAGCCAAAAGGGTATGGAAGCATGCACCTATTTGTTGGGATGACATCAAATCAAATTCTTGCAGGTTTGAAGAGTCTCAATAATCTGAATACGGGGTATGATTTTCTCTATTGACCATTCTGATGTTTCTGAAGCCAGAATTGAACTAACAAGCTATTTACTTTGGTAGCTTTAGAAATCTCGAAACTTGTGGTTGTTTGAAGAAGTTTGGAGACCGGAGTAGTGTATTGTGAAGTGTGAACGCTGTTGTTGGTGAGTGGCTTGAAGCTGCTGGTATTGGAGCCAAGTCCAGAAGATCAAGATAGAAAGGCTTAATTAGGTCTGGTTTTTACAGTTCAGTGACTAGGTTTTTCTGTTTTTGGTTTGGTGAACCTTTGTGTTAGTTGTTCTGCGTTATCTAGCCGGAGGTCTCAGTGTGTTTTTCAACCTCCGATTAGGTTTGGGTTGGTTTGTCCTTTAGGCTACAATAGTGTGTTGTAGTGCTCTCTGGTTTGTGCCTTCAGCTTTCGGGTTTTGTCCTGGGTGTATTCAGACTTTGTACTCGTTGTTCTTATTCGAGTATTCTATCGTTCCGTTAAAAAAAATGTATTTGAGTATATAAAATTTAATACTAATCTCGTTTATTTGTGTGACATATTCAATGAAATGATATATGAACCTTAAATGACATGTTATATAACAAGAATGAAAAGATTAGTATACCGTCTCATGGCAGCCTTTTTAATAAATATGTTGTTTTTTCTAATTAAAGTTCATGTATATGAGAAAATATCTTGCCATTTAAAAAAAATTAATAATTAAAAGTTTTCATTTTTCATATGTATAAAAGAGTAGTTAATAATTCACAAAGGAGGTCCATCTCTATATAAAACAAGATTACAAAGTATAATAATTTATTTTTATTCTACAAATACAATATTCATATCTTAAGATTATGTAATGCGTGATCCATGTAATTTATATTAATACTTCAAAATTGTTTTCATTCGTTTATTTTTTTTATACATGCGTCTAGCTAGAATATTCAAGTCAAGTACTTCGTTGTTAAAAATAAACGATTTGTCATGAGTCATGACTCAACTTGTTTAATAAAAAAATAAAATATAGACTCGAGTTAAGATCATTTAAACTCGGTCCGGCTCATTTAATAAACTCTTAAATCTAGACCAAAATCCAAAATTCTAACTTAGTCAATTGAGTGATCATATAATTTTTGGAATGTATTGAAGGGCATTTACCAATACCAATGTTGATATGAAAAAATCAAAAAAGTTATCATAATGTTGAAAGCATGAACAGGTTCGAGATTTTCTAAATTTCTTAACACTCAAGTTCTTAACCTACATTGATTTGTAGTTTGAATTTCGCAAATCTATGAAAAAATCAAAAGAGTTATCATAATGTTGAAAGCATGACAGGTCGGGGATTTTCTAAATTTCCCGACACTCAAGTTCTTCTTCACCTACATTGCTTTGTAGTTTGAATTTTACAAATCTATTACAAGCTTTAGCTATTAGGTGCTCTAATAAATTGAATTTTGGGATTAATATTTTTTTAAAAAGACGTTCGCTTTTACTGGTGCATCTGTCTTATGTGTGCGCCTAATTGCTTTGCAGCAATAATAGCGATCATCATTGTACATTTGTACCCTTCTAGGTAATGGATGTCAAACAAAAATCATCCGCGTGATAATTTTATATCTTAAAGAAAAATTGATAAGAAAATAGTTCAAAACTTATTAAATTAAATATACGTTTATTATTTAAAGTAGCTAGATATTTTTTTTTAACTTTCTAAAGTAATGATATAAATCAAAATCTAAATAACTACTTGGAAATATAAAAAAGTGTCACATTGAATTATGAGGCACCAAAAATCGGCAAATAAAAGTATGAAGCACCATAAGTTCTATGATTCGTACATTTTTCACATTTTTACTTAAATATTTATACTATAATTATTATTATTTTTTTTAGTTTTAAACTCAAAATCATAAATCTCTATTTCTTTGAACAAACATTTAATATATTATATTAATATTCTTTCAAGTAAATTATTTGACACCAATTATTTATATGAAAATATTTTGTCAATGTAAATAAATTAATGTTTATCTATTAATATCAGATTTAAAATAATAACTTTTTAAATGATTTTCATAATACAAATTACCAATATATATTAAGAAAATATAAATTGAACTATTTTAATTGAGAATACAGAATTTGACATTGAATGGATGATCTTGCGGTACCGTTCATCGATCAATAAGTCACTACGTTAATTATTGATTTGAGAAGAAATATCATAATTCTAATCATATGCATGTTTATGAATTGAAATATTAAAACAATTATTTTTTTCAAATAAAACATTTGAAAATTATTATTTTTTATAATTATTATTCTTAGATAGGATGTTCATTATTATATTAAAATGATTAAGTAAATCGATATTGATATAGCCATTTATGATATATTGGCCCAAGTACTCTACGCTCGACTGGGCAAACACTCAAACCGCCCGCACGTCGACATATCCCAGTCGACATGCCAAGGGTCGGTTCTACACACAATAACTAGGAAAAAGGGCGAAATCTACGCAAGTCGACTCCTCGAAGTCGACTTCCTGCAATCGACTTCCACTTAAGAACAACAAAGTGTAGCCTCCGAAAACCCATACGATTAGGTGTCGACCTCTCAGTGCTCGAGGTCGACTTCTTACGCCTCGAGGCCGAGAACGTGATGATGATTCATCACACTTGCAGAATACTTGAGGCTCTGCACTCTTCAATGGATAAGAAGGAATCTTATGATGACTCAGTAATAATACGAACCGACCGGGGTACTCCGGACATTTCACGTAATTAGAACAGGGTATTTTGGGTACTTCAAATAAGTGTTTTCTCCTATATAAAGGAGGTGAGGTAACCCTAAACCCTAACTTCCATTCATTCACACTCTCCTCTATAGCGGTTGCTGCTCTCTGAGAACAACCTCTCTTCATCCCTTTCATATATACTGACTTGAGCGTCGGAGGCTCTACGCCGGAAACACTTTTCGGCGGTCTAGCAACGGTTCGAAGGCGATTCAAGCAGATCCGAGCTTAAAACCATCGGTTCTCTTCAGATCCAGAAGTAGACCCATCAGATATATATATAGAGAGAGATGTTATAAGTACATAATGATGTACACCTCTATGTACATTTATTATATACTTGTAGCATTTTTCAATTAATAATCACTATCATCTATTGAAAATAAATAACGATCATGTTTATACGGTTCGGATTCACTTAATATTAATTGTTTAATTTTCAAACATGTAATTGATTATTTTTATATATTTTTTTGTATTACAGATATTTTAATTAGGTATTTGACATATAGTTTTGAAATAATAAATATATTTAGCACTTTTCAATAATATATCTACGTATTTTAATTACATAAGTTTCTTTTTTATTTTTTTTAGTGGCCCCGCCCCACCCGGTGCGGCCCGCGGCCCCTCGGACCAACTTATTTAGGCCCCCTCCCTAGTTGTGCCTGAGAAAAAGGTGCCTCGCCCCGCCAAAAGATCTACTTCGACAACTCTTAGTTCAAATATGCATCAACACGCATTCTAAAATACGGCAATTCTGTACACATAAATGGCTGTCTTGACTCTTGTGGTAGAATATAAAACAAAAATATCATCATTTAAAAGGAGAAAAAGGAAAAGACAGATGATCGAATTGATTTGGGCCAGCTTCTTCATCACTCTTCACCTAAACTTCTTATAAATATCCACTTGATCATCACTTGAGAAGCCCGCACACACAACCAGCACAAAACTATTTACTACACACATTCAATCCACATATCACATGGCTCTTCAAACATTACTCCACCACACAGTACTCATACTATCCCTCTTTCTCCTCTCTTTTTTAGCCCTTGCCCGTGTCAATTCCCAACGAAAAACATACATTGTCCACGTCAAGAGGCCTAAAGATGATATTCCCTTGACAACCTACCACAAGTCCTTTCTCCCTCTTACAGTACCCAACCATTCATTGATTTCCTCGTACAAACATGTCATCAGTGGCTTCTCGGCAAGACTAACCTCTCAAGAAGTCAAAGCCATGAAAGCCAACAAGGCTTTCCTTTCTGCCCATGTCCAAACTACATACCATCCCTTAACCACCCGATCCCCTGAATTCCTCGGGCTGAACCCACGGGCCGGAATCTGGAATCAAACACAATTCGGCCGAGGAATCATCATCGGTGTTGTGGACACCGGGATTTTCCCGACCCACCCTTCGTTCAGCGACTGCGACATGCCCTGTCCACCCGCCACGTGGCAAGGGACGTGTGAACCACCCGTGACGTGCAACGGCAAAATCATAGGCGCACGCTCGTTCAGCAAGGGCAGCGACGTCTCCAAATACAACGACTCGAACCCGACAGACTACACCGGCCACGGGACTCACGTCGCCAGCATCGCCGCCGGCGTGTTCGTACTGAACGCGAATGTTTTCGGGCAAGCGTACGGGACGGCGGCCGGGATGGCCCCCGGCGCACACCTGGCGATGTACAAAGCGTGCTTCGAGGACGACTGTATCGAGAGCAACCTGCTAGACGCCATGGAAGCTGCCATCGACGATGGAGTCGACATCCTGTCGTTATCCTTCGGATCATCCAAGCCGTTGTACAAAAACATTTTCGCGTTGGGCGCTTACGACGCGGCTAAAAAGGGGATACTCGTGAGCTCCTCGGCTGGGAACGGCGGTCCTTCCGAGGGTACGGTGGTCAACGAAGCGCCGTGGATGCTCACCGTCGGGTCGAGCACGATCGACAGAAGGATCCAGGCCTCAGCGATATTGGGAAACGGGCGGAAGTTCGACGGCGAATCCGTATTTCAGCCCAAGAATTTCTCCAGAGATCTCCTACGCCTCGTCTACCGCGCGGGCCCCGACGGGAGACAATACTGTTACGACGGGTCGTTGGCCGGAATCGACGTTCGGGGGAAGGTGGTGTTGTGCGACGGGTCTCTTCGAATCTTTCCGGTGGATCAAAGCAAAGAAGTGAAAAAGGCGGGCGGTGCAGCCATGATACTTGCAAACCAGGAAGCTGCCGGGTTTAGCCATCAGTCGTTTGCTCTTGTTCTTCCGGCCACAACAGTGTCGTATGCCGCGGGGCTAAAAATAAAGGACTACGTGAAGTCGGAATCATATCCGACGGCAACCATCTTATTCAAGGGGACGGTAGTCGGGGACCCGTTTGCTCCGGCCGTTTCTTACTTTTCGTCGAGAGGGCCCAGCAAACAAACCCCCGGGATCTTGAAACCGGACATCATTGGACCAGGCGAAAACATTCTGGCAGCGTGGACGCCTTTGGGCCCCCCGGATAATTCGGGGCTCTTTTACAAAATCTTCTCGGGCACATCAATGTCGTGCCCACACCTCAGCGGCGTAGCGGCTCTGATCAAAAGTGCCCACTCCGATTGGTCGCCGGCAGCCATAAAATCAGCAATTATGACGACTGCTGATCTTGTGAATGCCCAAGGCCAGCCGATTCTCGACGAGAAGCTTACTTCAGCCAACATTTTAGCTCTCGGCGCAGGCCATGTCAACCCGTCTAGGGCGATGGATCCTGGTCTAGTCTACGACATTGAAATGGATGACTACAACGCGTACATATGTGGCTTGGGCTACACGAAAGAACAAGTTGAAATAATCACACAAGACCCGGCGGTCGACTGCACGACGAAAATTGAACAACGGCAACTCAACTACCCCACATTCTCGGTTTTGCTCGGTCCGTCGACAACACATTCGAGGATGGTCACTAACGTTGGTGAGGCAGTCGCAACTTATTCTGTGCAGATTTTCGCGCCACAGGGTGTGAACGTTGTCGTGAAGCCACGTAAGCTGTATTTTACGAAGTTGAACCAAAAAGCGGCGTATCATGTGACGTTCAACCGCTCTAACAGCTTTATTATATGGAGCAACAGTTCAGTTTTCACCCAAGGTTTCTTGCTCTGGAAATCAAAGAAGCATACGGTCAGGAGTGTTATAGCAGTGAACTTGACTAGACCAGTGTATTAATCTTACACTACGTACGTACCCATTGCCCCATTTGTATGTTGCCTCTTGTAAGAATATGTGGCCCGAAAGCATTGGGCTCACATTTAATTATCCTATTGGGCTAGGCCTTTAATTAATAGTCAAACAAATCTAAGCCATTAATCTGGATATTTGATGGACGTACCAGATCTAAAGCACCCCTATATAAATTAGTCCTCTCTCCTCCTATTAGGGTACGCAGTTATTATCCCATCACTTTTCTGCTACGTTAAGGAGTTATTATCCCATCACTTTTCTGCTACGTTAAGGAATCGGTCAGGAGGGAGAAACTAGTTTAGATCTAACGATCAATTCAACCTTGTGTGATCATCAAGATTAAGATCACAAATCATGTCGTCTTCCGCATCAAGTAAGTAATTCGTATACACCAAATTATTTATTCAAGATCCTATGATGAAGTTTACATGTGGTATCAGAGCATGTGTTATGAATAAATAATTTGTTGTAAATTATGATTCATTGATCAAGTGGCCGAAAAGTTGTTTTGTTGTGAAAATTATTTCGGAGAATGGTTTTCTCTTTTCGTCGAATCAATTGTTCTATGATGATCGCTTTGCTGTTTATATTGATGGCTTATTATGTTTATCATATAATTTCATGGCCACAGTATTCTATGATGATTCGGTGAATGTCCATTTGATCGGTCACTAAACTAATGGTTAATAATAAATTAAATGGTAGTCTTTTCCGCATCAATGGCAGAATTAGTAAGGATTTATTTTCCTTTTGTTGATTTTGAAATCCATTTATGATTGAATTGTATTCTGAATACTGAATTCACATATGGGCCATGAAATAAACAATTGTTAATTTTGTGGCAAGAAAGAATATGAAGGATTTATTTCCTTTCATGATGTTGTGAATAATTGAAACTTATGTATTTTGTATGATGATGATTGAGTTAACAAATTCCCATTATGTTTATGAGTCATAAGGGTTAGTTTGTTAACATTATGATTATTTGTAATTGTATGACATTAAGATAGAATTAATTTGTTAGTCACCAAAGTGGCCTTATTAATTTTTAATGTTCGGTCATATAATTTTATCGTTATAACTGCTTGTTATATGACATTAAGCTCAAATTAATTTGTTAGTCACCAAAGTGGCCTAATTAATTTTAATGTCCGGTCATATAACATTATTGTTACAATTGATTGTTATATGACATTAAGATAAAATTAATTTGTTAGTCACCAAAGTGGCCGGATTAATTTTTTAATGTTTGGTCATATAACTTATGTTCTCTTGAGAATGTCATTATTTAAGATAATGAGTTTATTGGTTGTTAGAAATTATGGATTTACCCAAAGGTGAATCAATGTTCTATAACTAATAAACATTTAAGGAGAAATATAATATCCTTTTGTCGAGCGTATGTAGATATCCAAAGATACTATGTATGTTAGACGAAGTTTATTTAATTTCTCATTAAGTGCTAAATGACATTCGACTTATGATAATGATATATATTGTGTGTTTACCCAAAGGAGACCTGCAATATATGTGATGAATGTATTTTCTGAATCTATTAATTAAGTGAGCGTTTATGATTGTGCAGCTATCTCTCTTCATTCGCAAGCTTCTTCTGTTACTGTCTTCAATGGTTTGAATTTCTCTGAATGGCGTGAGCAAGTCAATTTCCATTTAGGTGTTTTGGATATTGACTTGGCTCTGCTTGAAGAAAAGCCCGCTGACATTACTGATCAAAGCAGTGAGGCTGAGAAATCAAACCGTAAGGCTTGGGACAGGTCTAACAGATTATGTTTGAGCTTTATGCGAATGACGATTGCCAACAACATTAAGTCAACTCTTCCCGATAATGTGGATGCGAAAGCATACCTTTTGCTTGTGGAAGAGCGTTTTCGTTCCGCGGATAAGTCATTGGCAGGAACACTTATGGCTGAACTCACGACCAAAAAGTATGATGGGTCGCGAAGTATGCAGCAACATGTTCTTGACATGACTAATCTTGCAGCAAGGCTTAAGTCCCTGGGCATGACTGTTGATGACTCATTTCTGGTGCAATTTATGCTTAACTCGTTGCCTCCTGAATATGGGCCATTTCAAATTAACTATAACACTATTAAGGATAAGTGGGATGTTAATGAATTGGCCAGTAAGTTGGTTCAGGAGGAGACGAGGCTTAAGGCACAAGGAGTTCATACGGTCAACCTTGTGGGTCATGGAGCTACTAATGTTCTCAAACCGAAATCCAACAAGTTTAAGAAGAAAGGACCTGCTAAAGTTTCACAGGTCACTAATGATGAAAAGAAGGAAAATCAGGCAAATAAATGTTATTTCTGTAAGAAAGAAGGACACATACAGAAAGATTGCCTGAAACGCAAGTCTTGGTTTGAAAAGAAAGGTATTTCTAATATCTTTGTATGTTTCGAATCAAACTTGTCTGAAGTTCCTTCAAATACATGGTGGTTGGATTCTGGTGCTACAACTCATGTTTCTAATGTGATGCAGGGATTTCTTACAATCCAGAGCATAAACCCAAATGAGAACTTCTTGTTCATGGGGAACCGTATGAAGGCCCCAATTGAAGGCATAGGGACTTATCGTATTGTTTTAGATTCCGGGCACCACCTGGATCTTTTGCAAACTCTCTATGTACCTTCATCTTCTAGAAACTTAATGTCTCTTTCTAGACTTGATGTTCTTGGGTTTTCCTTTAAGTTTGGACATGGATGTTTCAGTTTGTTTGATAAACATGATTCCATTATTGGTTCTGGAATTCTTATGGATGGTTTATATAAACTGAAACTTGATGTTGATTTTTCTGCATCTTTAATGTGTGTTCATCAAAACATTGGAATTAAACGTGGTGTAGCAAATGAGAACTCTGCTTTCTTGTGGCATAAACGTTTGGGTCATGTATCCAAAGAAAGAATACAAAGGTTGGTGAAAGATGAGATTCTTTTGGATCTAGATTTTACCGATCTTGGGTTGTGTGTGGATTGCATTAAGGGAAAGCAAACCAAACATAACAAGAAAGGAGCCACAAGAAGCAGTCAGCTTCTTGAAATTATACACACTGATATATGTGGACCTTTTGATGCTCCATCCTTCAATGGAGAAAAGTACTTCATTACCTTTATAGACGATTTTTCACGTTATGGTTATGTCTATCTGCTCAAGGAAAAATCTCAAGCTGCAAATGCACTTGAGGTTTTCATTAATGAAGTTGAAAGGCAGTTAGACAGAAAGGTGAAAATAGTAAGGTCTGATAGAGGTGGTGAATACTATGGAAGGTATGATGAATCGGGACAAAATCCCGGTCCATTTGCTAAGTTCCTCGAAAGACATGGCATATGTGCACAGTATACTATGCCAGGCACACCTCAACAAAACGGTGTAGCAGAAAGGCGAAATAGAACATTAATTGATATGGTTAGGAGTATGATAAGTAATACATTATTACCCAAATCTTTGTGGATGTATGCACTTAAGACTGCTGTGTATCTGCTAAATAGGGTTCCTAGTAAGTCAGTTCCTAAAACTCCTTTTGAGTTATGGACTGGAAGGAAACCTAGTTTGAGACACCTGCATGTTTGGGGTTGTCCAGCAGAAGCACGAGTATACAACCCACATGAAAAGAAATTGGATTCTCGAACTGTGAGTGGTTACTTTATTGGTTACCCAGAGAAGTCCAAAGGGTATATGTTTTACTGTCCTAATCATAGTTCTAGAATCGTTGAAACGGGCAATGCTAGGTTTATTGAAAATGGTGAAGTTAGTGGGAGTGCTAAAGCGACTGTGGAAATTAATGAAATAAGGGTTGATGTTCCATTACCCATTAATGTTCCAATATCCACAGTTGTTCCAAATATTGTTCCACTACCTCAAGAACAAAATAATGGTGGACAAAATTTGGATGAAGTAGTACCCCATGAAGAGACTAACTTCCCACCAACTAACACAAATGAACCACGTGGAATAGCATTAAGCAAACCTACAAGGGTGAGAAGATCTGCTATTTCGGATGATTATGTGGTTTATTTGCAAGAGTTGGATTATGATACTAGCATTGATGAAGATCCTGTTTCGTTTTCACAAGCCATTAACAGTGACGAGTCTCATAAATGGATTGATGCTATGAAAGAAGAGTTAAACTCTATGGCTAAAAACAATGTTTGGGATCTAGTAGAATTGCCAGAAAGTTCAAAACGAGTTGGGTGTAAATGGGTCTTTAAGACCAAACGCGACTCGAGTGGCAATATCGAACGACATAAAGCTAGACTTGTTGCCAAGGGTTATACTCAGAAAGATGGCATTGATTATAAGGAGACTTTTTCACCTGTTTCTAAGAAGGATTCTTTAAGGATCATTATGGCTTTAGTAGCTCAGTATGATTTAGAGTTACATCAAATGGATGTGAAAACAGCCTTTCTTAATGGGGACTTAGATGAGGAAGTTTATATGGATCAACCCGAAGGGTTTTCCATAGAAGGAAAGGGTCACATGGTGTGTAAACTTAAGAAGTCAATATATGGACTTAAACAAGCTTCCAGACAATGGTATATTAAGTTTAATGATACCATCACGTCTTTTGGTTTTCAAGAAAACACTGTTGATCGGTGTATTTACCAGAAGATCAGTGGGAGTAAGTTTATATTTTTGGTTCTATATGTTGACGATATCCTACTTGCTGCTAATGATTTGGGAATTTTGCATGAGACTAAAGATTTTCTCTCAAAGAATTTTGAAATGAAAGATATGGGAGAGGCATCCTATGTGATTGGAATTTCTATATTCCGGGATAGATCACAAGGAATGTTGGGATTGTCTCAGAAAGCTTATATCGAGAAAATTCTTGAGAGATTTGGTATGAACAATTGTTCACCAAGTGTTGTCCCATTACAGAAAGGGGATAAGTTTAGTCTTATGCAATGCCCTAAGAATGATGTGGAACGAAAGAGTATGGAATCTATTCCATATGCTTCTGTTGTGGG